CTGTCAACATCCTGCAATTTTTAACCACTTTAGTACTTTTCAAGTGATGTTCGGATGATGCTTTCATTTAATTGCTTGCACTGATGGTTTCTCTTGAAAATTCATGCACATAAGGTGATCTAGTATTTCAACACAGGACCCTGAAAGCGCTATTTGAGGTTGAAATAGAAGTATTCATAGTATTACTGTTTGTATTATTAATCTCTATGATTTTTCAATTGGCTAACTCAGTCAGTGAATGCAGGATTAAAACACAACACACATGAGTAATTCACCCACCTATGCATGTTATTATTGAAAAACATTCCCATCTTTTACATCACTCCTAAATTATTTTTGTAAACATGCATTTTAAAAGGTTCATTTTTTCAAAAAAAACTCAAAAACAAACTTCATGGAGTTCCTTACATATTTTACTTGATGAAACATGTGTTCAAGTACAATGTAACTTTGCATGGAAAATTGTAAAAAAAATGAGGGACGATGGTGAAAATGACGAATGTATTTTGAAAAAGCTTGTTGATGGGTGGATTAAACATGGATTATAAGATAATCCAATTGATCTGGAAACTATTCTTTGAACTTTTCTTGAAGATTATAGATTCGCCTTTCCCAAGCATTTACTTTTTACAGCCAGAAACTACTCACAAAAAAATTATCAACTGTCAAAATTATCAAAAGTCTGTTGCGATACTTTCCCTGCTCCTTTGAAGAAAAATCACCCATGCCTTATATCTCCCTCAAAAAATTCTCATGAGTTCTGGGACACCCTGTACATATTTTAATTCATAAATGCTGTATGAATGAAGTGCCCCTTGGTGTTACTGTATGGCCCTAAATTGTGATAATGGAACTTCAATGGTGGGGGGGGGGTATTAGACATGGTTTCTTTTCACATTGGATTATGTTTTGGGATAATTGGAGTAGTAGTTGGAGTTCCTTTTGACTGATGTACATTTAGATGTTTTATTTTTCTTGCTTGGTTCAGTAACATTTTTTGACCATTCCCTTTGTCAATGGTGCGTACATATTAAGAATAAATTAAAAAATATAATCTGATTTGAACCAAATAACAGGTGTTAGCAAAGGTGCATTGTGTAGTGTGGTGGATCCCATGTATTTTATCAATGGTTTTCTAATATACCCTATATAATACAATTTAGGGGAGGCATCAAAAGTTCGATGTCGGATAGAAAACTAAATAAATCTAGTTAGGGGGAGGGCGTTCAAACCCATTTCAGTTTGCTATCCGACAAATTTCAACATTTCAAATTTTTGGCAATTTCGACTGAGAATGTCTTTGAATGGTTTAAAAATAAAGATTTTACCTGATGCTTTCTTCGTCAAGTTCATTCCAATGGATTCTATTCTATCAATAGTTGTTAAAAGCTGCAAATTACGATAGGAATTAACAAAAACTGATCGTGTTTAGCAATAATTTTTCAAATTCTCAAACCGGAAGTCAGCGATCAACTTTCATGGTATTTAGTTTTTTTGGGGGGAGGGGGGTCAGAGTCAAAACTAGATTTATTTAGTTTCCGATTCGACATCGAACTTTTGATGCCTCCCCTTAGTATCTCCTTGTTTGATAAATCTTACAAGCCATTTAAAATGTCATATGAAGTTTTAGGTAGAAGGGTATAGTTATCCCAAAATAATTCATCTTGGGACTGAGAAGATAAATAAGTGATACTAGAGGATGAATCATTTTCACAAATGTTTTTTTCTCAGGCCAGTTACAGCCAGGGGGGTTCAGGGGGCTGAATGCGGGAATCAAATTGGTTGATTATAGTACCAAATGTGATTTGTACACAGGGAGGTGATTTGTAAGATATGTTCCCTTCAGGTTTTTGAGGGATGTACAATGTACATGAATCTATGTAATGAGTTAAATCACATAACATATAAGAAACTTGAAGGCTTGTATTGACTTATATCAGGGACTCTGTTTTTCCACAATGTGGGATATGAAATCTTCTTGGAACATGCAAGCAATGCTGTTAGATCTCTATGAAGTGCTGTGTTGTAGGGGTGTGCAACCAATGCAGTTAGATCTCTATGAAGTGCTATGTTGTATGGGTATGCAAGCAATGCAGTTCGATCTCTATGAGGTGCTATGTTGTAGGAGTATGCAAGCAATGCAGCTAGATCTCTATGGAGTGCTATGTTGTAGGGGTGTGCAAGCAATGCAGTTAGATCTCTATGGAGTGCTATGTTGTAGGGGTATGCAAGCAATGCAGTTAGATCTCCATGGAGTGCTATGTTGTAGGGGTATGCAAACAATGCAGTTAGATCTCTATGGAGTGCTATGTTGTAGGGGTATGCAAGCAATGCAGTAAGATCTCTATGGAGTGCTATGTTGTAGGGGTATGCAAGCAATGCAGTTAGATCTCTATGGAGTGCTATGTTGTAGGGGTATGCAAACAATGCAGTTAGATCTCTATGAAGAGCACAGTTGTAGGGATATGCAAGCAATGCAGTTAGATCTCTATGGAGTGCAATGTTGTAGGGGTGTGCAAGCAATGCAGTTAGATCTCTATGGAGTGCTATGTTGTAGGGGTATGCAAGCAATGCAGCTAGATCTCTATGAAGTGCTCAGTTGTAGGGATATGCAAGCAATGCAGTTAGATCTCTATGGAGTGCTATGTTGTAGGGGTATGCAAGCAATGCAGTTAGATCTCTATGGAGTGCTATGTTGTAGGGGTATGCAAGCAATGCAGCTAGATCTCTATGAAGTGTTTTGTTGTAGGGGTATGCAAGCAATGCAGTTAGATTTCTGTGAAGTGCTCAGTTGTAGGGATATGCAAGCAATGCAGTTAGATCTCTATGGAGTGCTATCTTGTAGGGGTATGCAAGCAATGCAGCTAGATCTCTATGAAGTGTTTTGTTGTAGGGGTATGCAAGCAATGCAGTTAGATTTCTGTGAAGTGCTCAGTTGTAGGGATATGCAAGCAATGCAGTTAGATCTCTATGGAGTGCTATGTTGTAGGGGTATGCAAGCAATGCAGTTAGATCTCTATGGAGTGCTATGTTGTAGGGGTATGCAAGCAATGCAGCTAGATCTCTATGAAGTGTTTTGTTGTAGGGGTATGCAAGCAATGCAGTTAGATCTCTATGAAGTGCTATGTTGTATGGGTATGCAAGCAATGCAGTTCAATCTCTATGGAGTGCTATGTTGTAGGGGTATGCAAGCAATGCAGCTAGATCTCTATGAAGTGCTCAATTGTAGGGCTATGCAAGCAATGCAGCTAGAATGGGAATTTGTGTTAATTTTGAGATCTTTCTAAAGTATAGCTGAATTATACTCAAATGAAAGGCAATTTAGGGTAGATTGCAAATATTGTATCGGTTTTGTCATTTAAAATTCAAAATGGCCACTTATGTGAGATTTCGCAATAACTTTCTGATCCCTTTTAGAGAAGATTGCAAATATTGATTTGTGCCTCAGAAAATTCATATTGTCTTTATTATTTGTGCCTTTAAATGGTCATCCAAATGTTTTTAAAATTGGTAGAAATCCTGATATATCTCTAATGTTTCCAATGTTTATATTTTTGTGACAAATACAGATTCATATTTGTTATAGTGTTCGTTGGGATTTGCTACTCTGTGGAGTTGCTGTTTTCTAGTTCTGAAAGTAACGTCATCCAGAAAAGTACCATGATCAATGTCACAAAGCCCTAGGTGATGTTAACATGGAGATCAATGTTATTTAGATGCGTCTTAACATGATGATCAGTGTAGCATAGGTTTTGCTGACATGAAGGTCAATGTGACATAAGTGATAATAAGGATGATAAATGAAATAGCAAGTGATTTTAACATGGACATCCATGCTACATCAAATGCCACCAGAAAAAAGTGTTCGGATAAGAAAGGTGTTTTTAATTAGCCAGGTGTCTGGATATACAGGTTTCACTATATTTGTTATTCACTTTCGGGTACAATTCACACTTATTTTAGGCAGAGCTTTGTTTATGGGATTTTTTAATATTTTTAATATTTTGTTGGATAAGATCTCTTGTCTGACATGTGTGTGAATTTTTCTATTTATTTTAAGCTCAATTTAGAATAGAAAACTGCATCTAATACAATTCCTAATTTCATGTTTTTGTTGTACCTTTACTTACATCACATTACAAGACTGATTCATCACTTGTCATGGAATGAATACATGGGAACCACTGGGTTACATTCCACTTCACTCTCTAATCAAGTATATACCTGGTAATTAAGTAGTTCATGCAACATGCCCAGTGCCATTTTAAGCTCAGTTTGCCATTTTAAGCTCAGTGTGAGCTACCTGGAATATAGTTACATGCAAATTGTGGAATGTGAGTCCCTGCATAGCTTTATTGCACACTAATGCTTCGGTCACATTTTCTCTTACTCATCAGCCAGCACCCGGCCAATTAAGTATTTTGTTCAAAATTGAAGGTCAAATCTCAAATTTGAGGTCAGATGTGAACTTCCTAGAATGTGTACATGATTTCTAAAAAGGGTTTGGTCAGTATGAAGCAAGCTGAAATCAGTTTTGAACAAAATACTGCAATCGGAGCAAATGTGACATAGGCATTAAAGAAACTACTGCACCCCACATATTGAACATACAGTGCTTGTCATGTTCCATTGTGTCTTTGGATCATTTGGATTCAACCGAAACCATTTTGATTGAAATGAATTTAGAATTATGAGCATCTAATACTCTCTGTCACAGACCACCATCCATTTCTGCACCACCAGAATTGGTGAAATATCGGTATAAAGTTTTGTGGATGGTGTTTGGCAGTTGATGCTTGGTGGTTGGTGTTTGGATGTCAGTGGCTGACATCTGTAACAAATGGCAGGTGGTAATATTTGGCATGTACCTTGTCTGTATAAATATTAAAGCAAAAGAAAGATTCATCTGATAAGTGGTATGATGAATGCTAATCATTGAAAAGGATTTTCACAACAGAAACTTGCAGAATTTGAGTATATATTCAATTGTTTTATTTCAGCAACAAGGCCCGGCATCTAGAGTAGAGAAAGGCCAGGGAGGGGTCAGTATACAAGGAACACAAGTAGAGAAGTTTATAGAGGCTTACAAGATTATCAACAGATTCTTCTCTGCATTTGTAGACCACGTAAGTTCATACATTCACATGCTAAATATAGATAGTTGTTATAAATAAAAATTGAGAATACAGGACTCAATTCAATTCAGCTTTAATTTCTTATATATAGTATTATTTACAAGATTTTACATGACACCCTTGTGGGTGTATACAGTATAAAGAATATGTTGTTTGAATAGTAGGTGTATGTATAGTAGGAACACTTACTTGTTGATTTACAAATCATCATTAGCCCCCCCCCTCACCATCCCATTCTGAAATGTAATTGACTACAGTGCGCAATTTTACATCTGTCAGTTTTGACACGTTTTATTATGTCTAATATGATAATCCTTTCAGATAATCTTGTTCTGTTTTCAGTCTTTACGAGATCTGGATTATGTTGTGCGTGACAAGCTGTTACTAGAGAGTATACTAAATGTTGAATTCCAAGACTCATCGGAGAAAGGCATTTTCTTCAATGGTATGTTTTACAAACTATACTCTTCAGATTGCATACTGCACTCCTGGCGCTCTTTTCGCATGCTACTGTATTTCACCCTTTTTGCGTTTTGGGTGATTTGCAAAATGTAATAGCCGTAAAATTCGAAAAGTTCTAATTAATGAAATATAATGGTCGCGAAATTCCCGGGAATTTATTTCACTCAATGTTGATAATATTGGGTGATAAAAGATTGGGAGGTTACTGTATTCCTTCATTCAGATTTTGGAAAATGATAATTAGATGAACACAAGATTGCTCAAGATGAATGGTAATCACTAATCATGGCTGATATTGAAGTTGAAAGCCTGGCATTGCATGACAAACCCAATAAAACTCTAAAAATGTACATAAAGTAGTCAGCAACCTAAATAAAAGAAGGAGGACAATTTTGAGAAGTCCCTTACCACGAAAATTAATAGCTGCGAAATTTCAAAAAACTAAAAATTAGCGAAATTGCATCAAATATTAGCAGGAGCAGGGTAATCTATTATAGAATTCATTTATTTGAAAGATGGGGAATGTTCATGTAAGTAGAGCTCTAGTGTTAACAATTATCATTAGTGAATATAAAAAAGTAAGCATGACTTTATCACATTTTTTATTTCAGATGGAGGCCATTCCTTTGACTCTGTACTATTCTATGGCAGAGAGATGACATTGGTTCTCTTTGAGGTTATGGTATTTTGTATAACAGATCTTGCGTCACAAAACTTTGTTCTTGCGGGGATCATCACCTATGCTGTTATGGAGGTTAGTTTAGCTCTCTTTCAAAGAGAACAGTAATTTATGAAATAATTCTTCAGTATATTGCAAGAGAAGGATTGATGCCATACAATTTCTGGCATTATTTTTAAGATCCAACAATATTTTTAAAAAAATATTCCCATTCTTGATTGAGTTGAGGTAAAAAATGATATAATGTACACAATTATAGAATAAAACTTCAAAACCATGGGGAAAAAATGGAATCAGAATAATTGAAAATATTTTTAGCAATGCTGACCTACTTGTGTGGCGTAAGAGATTTGGGCCATAATTTTTATGTCAACATATATTGTTACAGTCTTCATTTTATGAACAGCATTTGGCTTTCATTTTTGGTGTCTGTATAATATTTATAGCAATGCTGACCTGCTTGTTTGATATAAGAGATTTGGGGCATGATTTGTATGTCAACACATTTTGTTACAGTCTTCGTTTTATGAGCAGTATGCAGCATTCATATTTAGTTTCTGTATTAACAACCAGGTGGTGACATTTTGTTATAATTGTTAATGCCATCTTATTGAATATTCCAGGTGTTGAAAATGATAAGAGACAGTGCAGGAAGAAAGAATCTTGCCAAGAAAACCCTGGTAGATGAACGATTCCTCATATAGTACCCTCCCTATTCCTTGTAAATGATGTGTTTTGGTATAAAGCCGAGGATGAATGATACCTTATAAACACATACTTAAGATGACATGAAGAATGCCAATGAGACAGATGAGCGACCTTGACCTCTTTGACAGTTGAATAAGCACTATCATTGATGAGGCTTAAAAATAAATGAATGAGGCATTGAGGCAAAATATGACAAGATGAATGAGGATTTAGATGACACATGAACTCTGTGCCTCTTGTAAAAGTCCCAGGGTTCTTTTACGTCATTCGTAAAAAATAACAAGAGTTCGGGATTCAGGTGATTTAATCGTCCATTTACTTTTTCCATCCAATAAAGAGTGAACAGTTTATGATATTTTTATGGACATAATGCTCAGGAGGGGAAAAAAGTACATATCTCACAAATTCGTGTAACATATATGTATATTTGTATGTTTTATATGATGGCATGAAGGGGTGGTTCAAGGCACAAAAAACTCAGAGATATATTCATTTAGACATTTTTTCAAAAAATATTCTAAATTGCTGCTCCTGTTTTTTCAATCTACTAGTTTTGCATCGCCTAGATCTCTATCCTAGCTAGTACTCCATATAACAATGGCTTAAATAACTGTATCGCAAATAAAGTATCTTAGTCACATTTAGACTCAGATTGATCAATCAGTCAATGAGTTTTACCTGCATTTTAGTACTGAATCATTTATTTATTTTTATTTATCAATATTTAATGCAATACATTTATTCAAGGCACACTCTTCATTTTCAGTCAAATAATTTTTCATTTTATCATATGTACAAAGTCATTATTTCATCAAAAATATTGTATTTCATTGTATTTACATGTACTATACAAGTATTGTATATAGATTGTACATATTGTACATAAGCAATGTAAAAATATACTTTAGAATTACAACGTTTTGGTTTTGTTTCACATTGAATGTCTTTTCATGGTTAAATTCCTTGGTAGGTGAAAACATTTTTATATCATCACATGAAGTTTTGACATATTGTTATTGGACATATCCCTTTTATTTCACTTAAAGTTTTTCACTTAAAGTTTTCACTCCATAATAATACTGTGCACAATCCTGATGGTTTTCCATGCCATCCAAATTGCAGGTAAAGATGTGAGATTCTTCTTTAAAAGGACAGGCCTTTAGATCTTGGACTTGATATCCCTTCTTTTTAGAGAACAATAAATTCCTGACTTAGGCCTATATTATATTACGCCTTTGTTCCCTAAAAATTGCAAAATCAATATCTGGAAAATATATTTGGCAAAACAGCGTTCAAAGTATCCTTAAGAATTAGTATTCACAAATTTTACATCACATACCCCTGTATGTATATATATATATACAATGCAATCAAAAATGCAGAATCAAAAGTCAACTCAAATCTCATCACAAAAAAAAACACAAAATATATAAATACTTTATATATACTTTAAATGTCAAAATTAACTTGGATTAGATGGTGATATTTTTCATGTAGGTCACACTGTAAAATTTGAATTTCTGACACAATGTCCATTTAAGACAATTTTTATGTCACCACCAGAATTGGTGACATATTGTTATAGCCTCATTTTGTGTATGGTGTTCGGCGGTTGGTGTTTGGCAGTCAGCATTCTGCATCTGTAAACAATGGCATGTGGTGACATTTTGCATGCTAATGTCTTGTTACATCTATGTTTTCCTGACATGTTTGAGCATTTGGGTGTTTCAAAATACATCACATTGATAATTTCTTTTTTAAATATCTATGTACAGAAGTGTTCATGAAAACAATAGCCCATTTGAATAAGTTTTTTTCTGAGTATGGAAAGCCTTTCAAGAAGGTACACAACTTCAAAGAACCCAGACAACTAAAATCTGTTGAGAATTCTTCTGCTTATCGGACAATGTATATCTTTGAACAAACCCTTACACAAGTAGATCAGTATGACCCTGTTGAAGAACTTTTTTGTACAAGTATCATAGATATTATTCAACATTTGGCATTCCACCACCAGCTTCAGCCTGATGCTTAATGGTCTCTAATGTTTTATTGGAACTGTCAGCTGTTTCTACATCTGCCCCTGTGCTGGCATCTTCATTCGTAGGCTCCATTTGCTTTGTGTTATCTTGGTCTTTTGTAATCTCATCCATAGGATTAAGCTTTTCTTGTTCCTTTGTAATATTGTCCTCTGAGGTTGTTTGTTCATCTGGTTTTGTGTCCTCATTTTGTTTTATTTCTTCTTCTGATCTTATGTCCTCATTTTGTTTTACTTCTTCATCTTTGTTTTGGTCTTCATCTGGTTTTGTGTCCTCATTCGGTTTTATTTCCTCATCTGATTTTATATCCTCATTTTGCTTTACTTCTTCATCTTGGATTGCGTCTCCATCTGCTTTTGTCTCTTCATTCGGTTGTGTCTCATCATCATCATTTTCTGTTTGAAGTGCATGTTCTACATCTGAATTGATCTTATCTTCCTCCATGGCAACTGCAGCATTTGAATCAATAGGTGTTGTCTCATTATCTTCTTTCTGTGTTTCCTCCCCAACTTCTGCAATATCATGAACATTGTCACCATCATCATCACTTTTTGCCTTGTCTCCATCAGCTTTTGTGGTTTCATCTACATCGTTCATGTCATCTCCAGTAGTTTGTGTGCTATTAATTGGAGTTTGGTTATCGTCAGCTTTTATGTTATTATCTTTAGCCTCTCCATGTTCTGTTTCATTCACTGTTGCAACAACAGGCTCATTAGCTTTATTAGGATCACCTGCAATGACGTTGACTACTATAGGGGTTGTTTGGTCAGGAGACACATTTGTTCTTTTCTTCTTTCCACAACAACAACAGCACAAGATACATCCTATCACCCCAAAGAAGATTATAGATCCCACTACTATGACGCCTATAGCAATCATGTCCACCAAGCCAAGACGGAGGATTGAACCTAGAAAATTGTCCCATCCTGGAAAACAAGATTGCAATGTTAATTTATAAAATAAATAATGATACCATTTAGAAGGTTCAACAAGAAACTCAGGATTGAATGGATAAAGACATAAAATCAGCGGGAATGGATAAACTTATAAAATCGGATAGAATAGATGAAGCCATATAATCAGAGACGCCAACCCAAAAAGGGAATTGTCGCCATCGTGCGAGAGAGAAACACACATTCGGTGAATATTCATAGATTTAACTGTGGGTCTTACCTGTACAGCCTAGCTCGTCCGTCCCATTAGAGCACTGAGGTGTACCATCACACTTCAACCCAGCGTTGATACAAACGGAATCTTGCTCACACTCAAACTCCGATGACTCACATGGTACTGCAAATAAAAGTTTTGTCAAGTGCTAATACGTATTTATACTGAGGAGGACTTATCCCGTGCCAGGACTATAGTCTATAGTCCTGGCACGGGACAAAGGAGGACCATTCTTGAAATGCATGATTTCCAAGGAATGAGAGCATACAACTAGTTTCTAAAATTTCATCCTTCGAACGCATGGACATGAAGAATCCTGTGATAATGCCAACAAAATTTTAATTCATTTTCTATCAATCTGTATTTGGTACAATTTTATACACTTCATACATGCTTTTATGCATGGTCTTTATGATAAAAGGCTTTTCTTTATCAATTTCCAAGTCTTCTTTTTTGTCTAATTAACATAATCATAACACGACCATTGTGTCATATTTTTCATTGTGGGACATTACCTGGGGTGGTTCTTATTGCGATGAGCTTGAACCCAGAGAAAACTTGTGAACCATCCGTATGGAATTTGAACGAAACGGCCCGTCCAGTGGGGATGCCCGTCAAGTTGGGACTAATGCCACAGTACCTTCCGACGAGGTGCTGAGCATTCTGAGTAGGGACGCTAGAGTTGTAGTACCAGTCGTAGATCTCTAAGTAATCGGACGAACAGTTAGTTGACGATTGTACAACCCACTTCTCCACCCTAAGCATGTACCTGGAATTATTTATATAATATATATTGTGCTTTTAAATATGTAAGTACAATTTTTTGAAGACAAGGCAAGATTACACAACAAACGAGTTCATATTATACAGTATTACATAGTAACTGACTGAAAGGTGCGTTGCAATATTCGGTTAAAGAATATTCATATTTTGAACTCTATCAAAGTCACACTTATGTAGACTAGAAATGAAAATATTACTATATATTATCATAAAGAGCCAATTCAACGCTTTAAGAAACCATAAGCTTACTCTTGAAAATGGATTCTCGCAATACTCTCCCATATGAATCCACTTGTTGAGAATGTCAACTTGAGTTCTTCTGAGATAATGAGGATTTCAGCAAGGATGTATTGAATTAACATTGGCCGAGGGATAGGCTATGCACAATTGACTCAAAAACTATAAATGATGATGTCATCATGCATCATCATGAAAAACCATGACATCTCATTTCTTCTCAGTAATGTTTCAGGTGAAACAGAAAGATGCTATGAGTATCAGAAGGTCATGCATGGGGATAAATACAAAATCCTCATTTTCTCAGATTGAACTCAAGTTGATGAGTCTCAAGAAGTAGATCCATGTGGAAAAGTATTGCTAGAATCCATTTCAATAGTTAGAAAAGAAGTTCTTAAACAGGACATTTTCAGCTTAACTAAGGCCTTTTTGAAAATTTTGACTAGCTCTAATACCTGTTGCCAGCGTTGATACTTGCATCAAGGGTGATGATACAGTCGACGTTGTTACCATAGTTGGACAAGCCGAAGACGTTCAACCCCGACGTTATCCAAAGGCAATCATCCCTAATAGTCTCCCCGCAGTAGCCCCCAAATGTACGGCTAACACTCGCGTCCATGGCGTCTGCGAAGTGAAAATGTACGATAATATAGTGGCAACATTAGAAATGCATTTTTACATTTTTACGTTTGTTGGTATGATTTTAAAAATCTAATTTCTTGTGTTAATTAAAGTGGCGGCAAATAATTGGGATTTGTTATGACCCGAAACATTCTGATACTCATCACATTTTCCGATCCTAAACTCGTAGAGCTCGATAGAATTACGGTTGTAGTCTTACAATAGAGTTGTATTACTTTTTGTGAAATTGAAACAATTGAACAATTTGACTTTCAGTGACTCTCAGTATTCTTTGTGTATGATAAATACAGTAAGAAGGCAGACCACAGAAAAAGTTTATAAGGTAAATTGATCTTGATGACAATTATAAATGTCGCCCTTTTTTAAAGTAAACAGTTCGACATCATAAATCCAAATCTTCAATTTCTAACATATTTGATAAGGAACCCCGTTTGTGATATGCAGTGAAAAAAATGAATTCGAATCTAGAACATTTTACACCATATCATTTAAACATGAGTATGATTTAGATTATGGAAATCATTTTTATATCTACTTTCTTTAAGGCACCAACTTGAATTGAAATGTTAAAACCATCACCCTAAACGGCTAAAACGACACCATCAGTACCAATACTTACAAGTTGATGTAAGATATACTCCTTCGCATAATGTCGGGCAATAAATGAAAAATATCCCGACGTGGAATAAAACTTGCCATCTCGCCATCTTGCTTTACATAGAATTATCAAAGTATAATACTCAAGGTCAATTCGAATGTATGCTTTGGAGGCAACATCCCAAATGAAAGGGTTTCCAAGGGCTTTGAAATTATAATCCATCGCTTAAAAGACTTAATCTTTGTACTATTGCAAAGAAGCGTGCCTCCCCCGGAAGAAGATTCAATATGATTTTGTGACAAATAACATAGATAAATAAAGACGATCAGTAATTTTAATTTTATTGAATTGCAACCCATGATCGAGAAAAAGTGAAAATGGCAACTCTCGATGCACCAAAAGGGGTTTAAAACATTATGATATATATTTTACGCAATATGAAATGTTGACTAATTCTTACGAAACTTCAACATGGGAGTAATTCCGAAAGTAAATAAGAAAAACGATTTCGATAGTTCAATTGATTACAACAATGCGCTTTTAGTTGCCAAAATAGAAATCATGTAGAACCAATACAAGAAGCAAATCTCTCAGGAAAACACAATTCCAATCCAGGTATTGATCGTTGATATTTATCTTAGAGACTCGTGTTTTTCATTGAATAGGTATCATTTCCAAAAGTTGGTCATGATACTTTGCATACATTCTTCGATACTGGAACTGGTATAGAATTTAAAGTTTACGAGTTGGTTATAAGGATACATTTGAAAAAGTTTGCTTTAAACAGAGAGTTACTATTTATTTATTTATTTATTTCACTCATTTATTTATTGATCATTTATTTATTTATTATTTTGTTTACCTTAAGCATTGAAATAGTAGTACGCGCTTTTATTTCTAAGTATATGGACAAATTAAACTATCATTGCCCATATATGTGGGGACTTAATAAAACTCAGTAGGTTTTCTTAACTATAAGACTTACAATATGCTTCATTATTAGTTGTATGAAAGAATATTAAAAAAATATTGTTCTAAAATAAAACTGATTTTTTATAGACAATTTTATGAGTCTCGAGAGTATGCTCTTCCCGGATGCTCTTTTACCGAATATTCTTAATGTGAGATATTATGGGTAGTAAAGATGTTACGAAAATTATAGGTTCGTTTGGTTCATTTTTCCTGACGTGACTGTGAAAATTGAAAGGACAACCGCTCCGTCACCTTCTTAAAAATTAAATTCATAATATATACTTTTCCATGGACCCCAAGCATTACTTTTGCCCACAACGTCTTCGCTGAGAGCACAGCCTGTCCAATCTATATATTATTTCGTTTGATTCTGTCTGTACGGTATAAAATACTTCCATTTTACATACATTTGTCCACCGGTGTAATAGGAGGTCCTATCAAATTATGGTCCTACTTTTGATTGATTTATATGGTGACCTAATTACAGTTATTTTCCTTATTATCGTATCCACAATCAGGGCCAGTAAGGGCCTTTAAGAAAGGGGACCATAATCCCCAGGGGACCATAATTTTTTTCACACCGGTACTCAGATCTTTGGAGTATTTTGATGGGGCCGGGTACTCTTTGCGTTTAAACGAGGTTACGTAATTTCATCAAATTGAATGTATTATTCTTGAGTCACTGAAATTGTTTGAATCGGTGCAATACATAGGTCCGAAGCTTGATGAAGCAAGATGGTGCAATATTCAATGCAAGATATTCAACATATTTACGAGTAAGCACTGCATTTATGAATACAATTTTCCATGGTTTACTGCGATTGGGGAGCCATCTTTTACACAATTTTTGAAATAAATTTACCAATATAAAAAATGAGAAAGCTTTTTTACAATGAATTAGTGCCAATATTTGAACAAATCGGTTAGGTCCAATAGTTACAATGCGCATGCGTTTTTTGTTGGCTTATTGTACAAATACAAGGACCTGACACAACTATTAATATGTCACTTTTGTAATTTATTACTTCAAAAGTAAAGAATTCGTCAATAATGGAATTTTAGGACGTCTCCAAATTTTAACTAGAGTTTTGGACAATCATGTATGTTCATCACTACTGGGTAAATGTTGTACTAGTATTGGCGACTCTAATAAAATCCAATGAAGCGATCAGTCTATGTAAGTAAAAATCATTACTATCGAGGATTTTCAATATTTTGTTCTGCGATATGTATAAAAACAGCTTCAATTTGTGTATCAGCTTAGAATATGGCTGATGGGGGGGGGGTCGAAACAGTTTATCTACTGCCAGAAAGTACTCTTAAAGTGGCAACAAAGGGATATAGAGTTTAATTTGTGGTTAGATGCATTTTTTGAATTAATGAACATACCAATGTATATAACAATTTATATGAAATTTATATAAAAAATTGAGATAGCTGAATGCCTCTCGAAGAAGTCTTTCTTAATGAATTGCGCTCCCACCCATTTTCAACACGTGCATTATTTTGTTTCACATTTGATATGGATATATAGAAGATATGAAACAAAGGTATAACTTTCTATATGAAATAGAGATAACCTTATGATTTACTCGGGTAGTAATCAAACCCCTTCATATGAACAGCTAGCTGAGTTATCATGGATTTTAAAATATGAGAGGACATTGCTATGGAATAAACATGCCGTATCCTGAAGAAACATCGAATAAAACTATTGTATAATATAATGAATACGAATCATAAAGATAAACAATTGGAAAAAATCTCATCAGTTCGATCGAACAATAAAGCATCCATAAAACTAAGAATAACGCATATATGTGAATTATAATGATAGGAAATTGTAAAATCCCTCCTCCAGATCAAATTCGAATCCATAGTCATATATGCGATTTTTGGTGCACTCCGTCTTGTTTACCAATGTTTTTGAAGTTACATATTGAATGCATTTGACACCTTGGTAAACATATTCTGTTTTTGGCAACGCGTAAACTTTAACTCTGACTCAATATTTCAAAAGAATTCATTGAATGGATAATCTAAAAGAACACTAATATGAATCTTGAAAAGTGGTACTTTTTTAAATGGATTTGTTTGCGTTGTATTTCTTTTTACTTTTCTATTGTGATGAGGATATCGAACCAAATCGATAATAGCACTGCGAATCATTGGAAATGCATAGTATATTTAACAATAATATATTGCTGAGTAAATCCAAATACTGTAAAAGCCCAAATCTTCGCTAAAATATTTCCCTAGTCAATCTGAAATGTTTCATGGGCATTAAACTCTTCAGCGAAAATGTAAAAATTAGGGTAGTTTGAAAATTTGGGCTTTTACAGTATGGAGAAGAGCAAGAATGCCAACGATAAAGTATTATTGAAGTTTTCCAAAACGTCATATTTTACAACCCCGAAGTAAAACCGTAGTATCCCGGACATTTAGTGCGATTCATAAATATCTATTTTTTCAAGCGTTAGATCAAAATATATTATCATCAATCTATATCATATAATAGCAGTTATGTCTCCTCTACACAGACGGGGCATATTTATATTCCTTATCATTCTAAAACATAAAGGTTGGTTAGAGGAAAAAGTTTAAAGCTTTTATAGGCTTATAGCCAGATGCCATTCAATAATAAATATTCATGGTCGTATACAAGGTCACAAAGTCATAGCAAAAATTGTTGTCCATTGCTGCAAAATATAAACTCAATATATACTCAATATAAAATCACAATTACTATTGTTATTTTTTATTTCAGCAACTATGCACGGTTCGTGCGGATCCAGGCCGTTTGGACCTGCATCAGTGGGAACGGAATTTGTTGGTCCAACACACGGTCATGTAGTAACGTTCCATTCTGATCAAGGCGGATATGATTTTGTACCTGCGCATACAGGGATATATGACACCGACATTGATTGCTGGTTAATACTTAAAGGGCAACCCAATACTGCGGACCAGCCGGCGAAGAAAATATCATTATCGTGGAGGGGAAATTTCCACATGATTGGATATGGTGGTGATAACTATGTGGATACAGCATGTGATAGAGCCTTGGTTGAAGTGTATGATGCTGAGGATGATGGGATGACACTAACGAATAGACTTGCACATGGTTGTGGATCTACACCACCGGCAGTTTCTATCAGCAATGCTGAAACTTTTGTGGTGCATCTTTACGTTGCGGCTAAACCACCTGATATTAACTACACTGAGATCATCCCCTTTCCTCAAAATAATGCCACGTGTAATAACGCTACAGAAGTGTCGGTATGTGCTCTGAACGCCACATCTTGTGAGGTTGACTGTACCTGCCAATTCATCAACAACACACAGACAAATTTGAACATGACAACCCTTTCACCAAATGCGACAAATGCAAATACAACAAATACAACAGTTGCTACCACAACCGTTGCCGTAACAACTGCTGCCACAACTGTAGTTACCACAGCAAACATGACGTACAATGCGACAACTATAGCAACGACTATGGCGTCAAATATAACCAACATGACAACGTTGGCACCTTGTGTGGAGCAATTAAACATCACTAATGTTACAGTGCTACAACCACGGATAAGATTCACTTTAGATTTTACATCTTATTTTGAAGGTACGTCAGGACCCCAAAAATTGTCCTACACTCCCTTCAAAAGGTTTGACAACATGAAATGCTCTTTTGATCAACATATTGATTAAGACTCCATCGATCCCATCTTATTTATCAGTAATGACCAATCTGTTGTAATTGATGGGCATAGGTCTAATTTATCTTCAAACATAGACAGACTTTATGTCAAACACCAGGTCTGGTTGTCAAACTCGCGGTTGGGGGTTTAAGTATATGTCCTCTTGGGGGCCCAAAAAAAAATTGGGCCCAAAAAGATTTTTGAGCCAAACAAGGCCTTCAGGCCCCAAAAAGTGGGCATTGAAAATGTAAGGCCCATTTTTTAACCCAAAAAGGCCAAGTAATGCCCAAAGAGGCCCTCTCATTGAGGCTTTACAATTTTTTTGGCCCAAGAAAAAATTTCTGGGCCCACCTAAGGGGGTAGGACATACAAAATCAAAACTGATAATAAATCTTAACATGCACCTTTATCAGTTATAACCTGAACAAAATATCAAACGCTGCATCTTTCAAGCGTATCATACATCATTATCACCAACACTTGTTATTTCAGGTGATTGCTCTATTGATAATATCGACGATGGGCTTCAGATGCAATGTGACTCTGGACGTTGTATTGACGACACCTTAAGATGTGATGTTTACTATTCACCAAATTGTGGGACATCAGATAACAGTGACATCAGAGCGTCAGAACCAGGCAATTGTAGACGTGAGTATTTTGTTGAGGCATTCTCAACATTCAAAGAACGAAACAGTATAAAACATGGTACAAAGGACCAACAAAGGACAATTACAAGTATAATATGATTATAAAAACAAGACAATCCAATCAGTATCAGTGTTACTGAAATGTTCCATGGCTTTGTGATTTTCGATCGTCCTGTTGGCTATCACGCGGTGGGGGAAATTATATGAGACTGTTTGTTCGTGCGTTTGATTATTGGTTGGGATGTTTGGGTTTGATTCGCTATGATTGGGTGTCCTTTCTCGTATTTTCTTTTTATTACCTTGTTTTTTATTTTTTGTTCAATCATTGTATTTTGAAAGACAATCAAAAAATCACTCCAAACAATAAATGACAACATAATATGCTTTACTATCTTTAGCCACACGACCGCCTGACTTATTCCCATTGTACCTCGTACTTGGGTTGCTAGCCGCTCTAGCCATGTTGTACTGGTGTTGCTGGAGACCTGGCTATTGCCCATGGAGGCTTGCTCGATTACGCAACGTAAAATGCTGCAAGAGACCGTGTTGCCATCCGTGTCGTAACAGCCCAGCATGTCGCAAAACAGGTTGCTGTGGTAGTCCTGCAACTGGAGCATGCGCTGCATGTTCTCCAACATGTTGCACTGGCGCCCCGGGACCTGGTGGAGGAGGGGGTTGTCTTGGCCCGTGTAGTAGGCTGCCATGTTGTTCTGGAGGCCCAGGGCCAGGAAGTGGAGGTCCAGGTAGCGGTCCTAAGAAAGGACCATGTGGTTGCTGTGTACCCCTCAATGGGAGTCTAGGTAAGCATCTGCTATAGTGATAATTAAAAATATTTGGATGTTTTGAAAAAGAAAAACGTGATAAGTCAAGTTATCATTGACAATATTATTCCGAAGAGCGTGCACATTTTTCATGTAAAGGAGACTCGAATGCTACTATTAAAAATATATCAGTGTAAACCAAGTTTGGATGAGAACAAAACTTTCAAAATATTTTGGACGATCCTTGTATTACTGATAATATGCATGAAATTAAAGCAATCAGATATGTTTCAAATGATAGCAAATTCAGATAACCCACGCTTCATTTATGACCTTAGATTTCCGATCTATTTGGCCCATGAGCATGTATATAAACGTGATGTTTTTTAATTCCGAAGGTATTGATGCGAATTCTATCCAAACAGGATGATTCCAATATTAAACAGGCAATGCGCCTATTTTTGAAGGAAAAAGGACAAAATATTGTTTGAGACATGTCACTCACACAGTCAATCAAATATGATAAAAACTTTAATTTGGGATAATACTGAAGTGAAAAAAAAATTACTCGCATAGAAAACAGCATTTGAAGTTCAGAGATTGAAAAAAGTGAATTACCACTTTTCACAAATAGTGTATGTTTTAAATAACTCTTGGATTAAAAGATGGCGTATGCTTGAAAATCCTGTCAAAAATGAATTGATAATTAATGCAAACAACAATGCCATCTTTCTATGGCATTGCTAAAAACTTGACATATATAAATTGATAGATCAAAAATATTTTGTCATGATCTAGTGTCAACTCTGATGTGGTCTGTTTGAGCTTTTTTTGGTGTCAAATGAAAGATTGGGTACTTATTAATCCATTGGAAATACTATTGAAGATCAAAAGTGAGACTTCATTTACGCACATTGTCCCTTTAAAGCGAATTAGAAGGCTACATTTTTGGGTCACCCTATTCATTATATAGTCTCTATCAACCAATACATATCATCCTTCTCGAAATACTATGTCACAAAACCTTTATATTTTAAGATTATTTTATAATAACTAATATGTTATTACAGCAAGTGGTAATGGTGCAGGATGGGGTCCCAACAAAGCCAAAGCTGGTGGTAAAGGCGGACTAGGACCTAACGGTTGGACTAACTTTAGTAATGATGATGGAGCTCATGTTAGAGAAACACGATAAGCGTTGTACCACATGTATCAAAGTATTGCTTCTGGGACAGAACTACATGCCATGGATATCAGGCCCGTTGCCCAAAAATTTCCAAGGGGGTTCACATTTGACAATTTTGGCCCAAATATGGCTAAAATCACTTGAAATATGCTTAAAATGGTGAAAAACTGCATGATTTTGAAAGAATTTTTGGTTCGCAGGGTTCGGGCCCCGGGGTTCGGGCGACCCCCTTGCTACGGGCCTGGATATGGATCCATATATTCAATGCTGTAGAAATTACAATTAATGTGATTGATCGCACATTCGAGGACTTAGTTATGATCTGTGATATCTGATTTTGGAAAGCCTAATCTAACTCCAATGACATTATTAATGTCAACGCCTGATAGTGATATGTGATACGTGACTGTGATTATGGTAGTTTGATGTTAAATTTTGATCTGTGATATCTGCTTTTTGGTAGGCCTAATTTAACTTCAAGTCAACGCCTGTTCTATATGATACTTGATTGTGGGAAATGAGAAATCATGGCCGTCTATATACAGATATATCAGAATTACAGTGATGTGGTTTAGTGACAGTGTCTTGTCTTGCTCGAATGTAATTTTTATGCCAGGTTTAATTTCGTGAAACACAGGAAATCGCAAAAGTTGTAAATATTGTACAATAGCAATTCATATTTTGTAGTACTTGAAATATATTTGGAGCGGTCTCTTTATTATTTGTCACTTTTAATAAATTCAAATATCAGTGATTGTAAAACGTTTTATTGTACCATATTTTATTTACATTTATTTATAATTTAATAAATAAACAAACAATTAAAAATGTCTTCAAATCAATCATTATGTCGTAAAGCAGACCAGCTGCCTTACTTTCTGACTTCTCAACCATTTGGCAAATTCTATTACACCAAGGGAAGGGTTGTATGCATTTTGATGATGGGCTGATGATATTTGTACATTCATTTTTCCCGTGTAATTTTTTCTCATGTTTTTTCATTAACTTTTCGTTTTTTCCCGTTGCTGCAGAGACATATAAACGTAAAATATTCCTTCTGGGCTCTCGTGGCTTTGGAGTCACGATAGAAGTGGGTGATAATACTGTTGATGCAAAACTTTATATTTTTAAAATGTTTGTTCAAGTTGATGCTACTACATTGGCTTTGGTAAGTCTAGGCTGTCTATTTGTACCATCCGTTGGACTACCATTTATACCATAATCTGTCATACCATGACTCAATGCACTTAATGGTCTCTCTTGCGCATGCTCAGTAGTGGTCTCTGTAACAGTCGTCACCTCTTGCTCTGTTGATACAGTTTCAATCTTAGATTTTTTCACACGTGTGTGATATTTTGAATATTTAACAGTAATTGGATATATCCAATCAAAGTGGCCTCTACGGAGTGACTTTGGTTGGGATCTGAGAAGTTTCTGAAGTGCATAGTATTGGTAAAGCCTGTAGGCCACATAGATGAGGATAAGGATGAGGAGTAGGACTGCTATGATAACGCCGACCATGATGCCATAGTCTATTATTCTATTTTCCTTCTCGATAATATCCTCCTCTGGAATCATAGTTAAACTTAGTTTTAGTCATGCATCAAATCTCGAGACTTCCCCCTATAAACCACCACATTGTGGATATGAAGAGTTTGGGGGAGGAGGAGTCACACAAGCTTGATGGAAGATTGAACTCTAATATAAGTATCATGGCACGTGGCCTCAAGGCTTATGCAATATAAAATCTACTTATTCCCATTGTACTTCATCCAGACAATGCGTTTTAAAGAGTGTAGAAACAGAACAAGAGATACCTTTGCCGTTATATCTAAGACATTGCAATGAAAAACATTTAGAAAAACTAACAGATTGATTAACCAATTGATAGATTGTCGAAAATGATTTCTCTGTTCAAAAATATTCTCAAATTGAAACGATCGTGCAAAATAGTTATTTGATACAAGGTCCGTACCTGTACAGAGGGCCTCGTCTGAGCCATCACCACATTGGTCATAATCATCACACTCTAGATCGGCAGGTACACAGAACTCACCATGCCCACAGGCAAAGTAATCGGCTCCACAAGGGGCTGAAATGTATGCAATATAATGTAAATTGTCTCATTTTTGATAGCGGTTTGAACCGTTGTGGTAGGCCACACTGGCGGATCTGGGGGGGGGGGGCTGGGGGCCAAGAGAAATAATTGGTCCCAAAATTTGGGCAAAAAAGGCTTTAAGGCCCCCCAAAATGGGCCTTTTTGGTCATTAATGGGCCTTGTAAAGCCTTATTTTTTAATTTCAGGCCAAGTTTTAAAGAAAATGGGCTTCAAAATTTCAAAATTTGGGCCCACTTTTTGGTTTTAGGGGCCCAAGATTTTTTCTCTGACCTGAAAATTTGGCCCCCCCCCTTGTTGGTTCCCAGATCCGCTCCTGGGCCATGTCACTTTTCTATTCCCTCTCTTTATTAATTAAGCATACATAATTGAATAAATGATAATCTAAATAATCAATATAGTTTTATATCTAAAATTATCTTAATTTCAGTCCACTAATTTTAAACTACTTGTGCGGGCTACTATCGCGTTACGTATTTTATGAAATAAAAAAATATGGATACATCCTTGTGCGCAAGGGGTATCTCTAAATAATTGAAACTTACGGTTTGAAAAGGCTATATAGACTATTTCAAATCCTTTGAAAACTGCGTTAGAATCGGAGAAAAACTTTATCGTTGCATTGGGTCCTGATGTGGTGAAATTAAATGGTTCTTTCACGGTGTCACATAAGGTCTCAGGGGTGAGTCTGTTGGCGGGAGATAGAGGACCGTCATACACATCTAAGCCATCAACACATTTGCCCAATAGTTTCTCCTCCAGTTCAAACCTGATAAGACAGCACAAAGGGAAACATTGCAAAACATTACATCTAGTTTTGCATCGAATCTCTGGACCTCCAAACCCCTAGTCTCCCCCTAAAGTCTCTGCCTCCTCTCAATTTAGGTCACCTCTGACGTGTGGACTGTGGAGATAAGGTTTGGACTAGGGTGACGAAAAGGGGTTGGCATTGTCCCCGGATTGTCAAAGGGGCTTGAAGCAAGACTATTCGTTTTTATCATTATTATCATAATCTTATTTCAAATGTTGTTGATTACAATTGTTGCATAATATGCATATGTGAGGATCTATAAAATTGGAATGTATATTGCCCTTTCGTGTTGCATTTGGCACTTGAGAATATAAATGAAGCATAACTGGATGATGTAATGGCTGGTCAAGAAAAATATGATGATTGATCTCTCAATGTACCTTTTAAACTGCAGATACATTTTTGTTGTGGCTGCTATGTTTATTCTAGTGGCGCAGTCCATCTCGTTGTCATAGGTGATTGAGGTGCTCGTCTCTAGGCGACCGCTGTTGATTCCACCTATCGCCGAGTTGCAGACTAGAGTCATGTAATCTAAAAATATACATCAAAAATACACTATAATACTTCTCTTCTACCAAATTAGCTTAAATCAGGAAGATAGACCCACTAAATAAAACATATGATATGATTAAAATATGAGGGAGGGTTGCGATTTTACATTTTTCAAATGTTGCCCTTTTTGCTTCTTCTTTGTGAAGATCCATCAAAATGCCGGGCTACTACTCAGTATTGCAAAACAATTTAGTTTCTACATCGTGACCTCTGTTGAAAAAGAAGCGTCGATGGTGTCCATTTTTCAAATGCTACCCTTTCTGCGTTTTCATAGACCGGGCTACTAAACTCAATACAAGGCATAACATGACAAAATGTCACCACCTAGTTGCTCACAATATCATTAGTTCAAACTTATAGTCAGTAACTCTGTAGATAATTTTGAAAAATGGTCAATTTGAAACAAGCTTTTTGACCCTGAGAAGGTCATTGAAGGTGAAATCTCAAATCTTTGTCAAGTTATTGAAAGTTGTAAGAAATTGTTACAGACGCCGATCGCCAACCGCCATCCGTAGTCACAAAAATGGAGACCATAACAATATGTCACTACTTTTTGATGGTGACATAATAATGCTAAAAACTGTTCACACGTAGAGCGGGTTCTGCTGATAGTGACCTCTATTTAAGTCCAAACAGACGTGTCGATCATAATAAAACAGAACTTGAAAAAATAGTCTGGGGAACATTGATCAAATAAAATCAGGACATAAAGAATATTGGTTTAGTTTTTGAAAAGTCCGATTGATTCAAAACAATTTATGGCTAATGTTTACAAGTTGATGACGTTGGAGTATTGAGTTTCGTATTTCCTTTTAATTCGATAAGTTGGTTTAAGTTAAGAACAAACATGGTTGTTACAACACTTCTATGATTCCAAACATTTTGTAAATAAAGATGTGAATTCTTCAATGAGTTTAAGCTTTGTACTATTGTGAAGCTGATTTCTTTCACTGGTTTATAAATATCGTTCCATTTGAAAGCTGTGATCGACTTTCTTCTATCAAGAACACGTTGTTCTGATAAAAAGGCATTTTAGTCGCATATTGTATTGTAATGACACCTTTTGGCCAAGTTACCTTTGCATACATATTCTTCGAACACATCTAGGGTGAAGAATTATCACGGGCTTTCTGCTCTTGAAAACCCATGGAATTATGAACTAATTTTCAATAAATTTATTACCACTTTATTACCATATTCACCCCAAAATAATTCAACTTATGCATCTAGATATTCTTTCTTGAATATCTTGTAATGTAGGGCATGTATACCGATGCGGAGAGCGATCCATCAACATTCTTTCAATTCTTCTGTACTCAATTCAATTAACTGCATGTTTATGATACAGTAACATCCAATGTTGTTATGTTGCCATAGATACCGTGCTATTCAATTACTGAGCGTTAATGTGAGAGAATGAAATTACATCGTTTTCAGCACTTATACCTTCAGTTCTCGTCACCAACTAGGTTAAAACTCGAACACCGTTTTGATGTATTATCTTCATCTTAATGATACGCCCTATGTAGACATATCAATTGAAACAGAGACGTATAAAACATATGTCTCTGCTTGAAATTACTTGTGAGTGATATCATACCATAAGTTGATAAAGATTGAGAATAGACTATTTTTAAAAATATTAAAGATAACACATTTTGTATATATATTTAGATAGTACAAAAGAAATCGGCATGACAATTACAACCTAAACAACAAGCATTAACCAGTATTTAAGAATTCATTTAGCCCCTTTTGGAGACACATACATTTACTAGTAGTAGATTTGACCCAATGGAGCTTCAGTGACATGAGCTTATAATAAATAAATAAACAAATAAACAAACAACAGACAAAACGTACCTGTGTGTAAGTCCTCGCAGCATATCTCCCGAATGAGACGAAGGAGAACGTAAACGTATATTATAAGACATTGCTGAACTGTCTCCCTTTTAGCCATAATGTCACATGATTTTTACCAGGAAATAATCTGATAGATTCACTGATGTCAATCAAAGTGTTCCACTTGAGCCCAAGTTGTTCCGAATTCCGGTTCTTTTTATTTTTATGCCTTCTCCCAAACTGTTCATTCGTCACTTATATTTTTTCTCTGTAGTGATATAGGTTTTTAGATCGACGTTAATACAAAGTACTTTATTCATTAAACTCATCACAATACGTCTATGAATGGCAACGAGTTCGTTCAAAATTCAGCACAATGTTGATTTGTTTCTGTTCTGCTACAGTGCTAGAAAAGTAATATAAAGATTTATTAGATTTTATGAAGCTGTTATAAAGAGTGACATCTATTCTTGTCTTCGGATAAATATCTCTGATCAACTCAATAATAAAAAATGAATTACATGATGCAAAATTGTATCATTTGAGAATGACGGGACGTAAACTAGACTTAAAGTGTGGACTTTGGAGACGCCTCTCCTTTACGCTTTGCATTCGTTCGACTTCACTTCTCAAAAGAGAGCTTCGTCTAGTTTATAACTAGACTCTGTACACAGGGTACCTCTCCTTAAGATAATGGGGGTTTTGTATAAAAGGTTAAAGATTCATTATTTGGTTTTATGTCTGAATTAAAAACACTCTGAAGCGATCAAACAATGTTCCTAAATTCATCCCTTTTGCCATTTGGACAGTCTAGCTCATAAGATATTAGAATCAAATGAAACTGAACTTGCGAAGATTGTGAAATTGTTCTTTCCTTGAAAGTTTAACAAAACAGTCCTTTAGAATCTGTCAAAAACCTCCTTTCAAATAAAATTGATGATGATTCAAAACATTAGACAGTCAAAACTGATTTTGTAAGCGAATATTCTCTCTATGTTTTAATCGAGAAAACTAAATTAAAGATAGAAGCAATCAATTCCAGTCGAAATTCCGTTTTAAATTAATTTTCTTAAACAGTGACCAGATCAACATGACCTTGAAAAGCATCCTCCTAAGCAGGTGTCCAGAATCCGTACCTCCTTCTTTCGGTAAAAAGAAAGTATTCTGGATTTTGACACCCTGTGGTCGGAGGATGTTGGAAGGAGTACGGAAAATATCGCATCAGACTTTCGGACAGTCATTTATTGTATTTTGGCTATTTTCTGAGGTTTAAACAAGTGCATGCATCAATGCATTACCTCCAGTAAAAGCACCCATAGTTCCATTTGCATTCGTCCGTCTTCACTTCTCAAAAGAGAGCTTCGTCTTTAGGTATAACTAGACTCTGCGCCCAGGGTACACTCATAGAGATGATAAAATAATTTCGACGTGGAGACAGGGAAGATGCTAACATGTTTTGTCTGAAATGTTGTCCTGATTTTCCCCTTCCACCCCTGTTTCAATTTTTGTTGCATCAATATGTTGAGTTTTGAGACACAGTTAAACCATTTAAAGGAATAAGTAATTCCTTTTAGATAAAGTGGAAAACAACATTTCCCATGTTATTTCCCCATAGGGAAAACTCATGCGATCCATTGTTTTCAGCTTAATTTTGGTCACCCATTGTGGATATCTTTAAAACCTTTGAAGGATTTATTGTCATTGTATGTTAAATATACCGGTTTTTAAAGTATTGCTGAGTATCAAAGAACGGTAATGTGTATTTTCCCCTTTTGGTCCATTTTCCCAGTTCTTGGTACAAAAGTAAGCCTAAGCTGAGTAAATATGGACTCAATACACATTAAAAAATTTGAGTTGTCCTATCTTTTGGAAACCTATTAGCGATCAGTCAATCCGGTTCATTGATGGGGAGGGCCGCTAGGTGGTGCAATCAAAGTTCAAGACAGTTCAGAAATCCCAGGGAGAACAATTATAATGGGAGTTATGTATTTTTATATTCTGATATGCAAGGTCAGATAGTGTATATTCATATTCTATTCAAACAAGACAAGTGTGTTTCAGCCAGTCAGCTTCTAGAGAATTTCGGTGCGTTATATATCGGCTGAGACAATGGTAAGCTTAGGGAGTGCAGAAAATGACCAATGATTCTTCAAGCTTTGGTACATATCATGAAATATATTATATTTGGCTTTTGACATCTCTAACCTGAAAGGCTCTGAAACAAGTTATTCTTTGGGAACTATCCTTTGCCAAGTTGAACTTCACTGAAAGGATATCCCCGGGAAATGCTCATTATCAGAACGAAGACTCCGTGATGCATGCAGATATTTACACAATTGTTAGAATAGATATTTACAGCAACGACGGTTTATGTTTATTTCATATTGATTTGAAGCAGACTAAGTTTAAAGATTTTGTCATATGGGCCACCGTATCACTGTTAGTATTTTCGTTCAGTGGAGAAAGATGGCGGCGCCCATGAAATTATTTCCGGTGTACAATATTTTTTAAGGTACAGCTGGAAAGTAACATTTTGGTAATAAATTGCTATACCTGCACATGTTATTTTCTGGTACAAAATAAAGTATGAAGGCATGTGTCAATTTCCTTGCTTTTTTCAGGAAAGTATCATTACATTGTCTTCTTTTAGAATATCTGGTAGGCGTTCAATGGGACCTCCAGGAAATTCTGATATTTCACACTTTCTATTTTTCCAAATTTTCTTTCAAAGTTTCCAGACAACACAGGAGCTACCATTGACCTGTTTCTAGATATTCTAAAAGAAGACAGTGTGATGATACTTTCCTGAAAAAATCAAGGAAATATACACATGCCTTCATACTTAATTTTGTACCAGAAAATAACATGTGCAGGTATAGCAATTTTTTACCAAAATGTTACTTTCCAGCTGAACCTTAATTTAATTTTTCTTTTTCATCAGTTGGAGCAGTTTTTACTGATCAAAACATTTATGACGTAATAGCGCATACATTAAACTGTAGCTATGTCTCTTCAAGCGGGAGATGAGGATTCGATGAGCTTGGATAGTGAGAATGAAAAACTTGGTCTGCTTAGTGGAACTTCGACAACAATAATCAGTCCTTCAAATACTACAAATAGAGGTGAGTTTAGCGTTGAATGTGCTTGATATGATCTGGTTTAATTAGCTACGAGTGCATCGGTATTATAAACTGCAATATCTCTTCCTCTGAGTTATCGAATCAATCGGAGGATAGCGTGGGAGGGAGGGGAGCTGTAAAGACTTTGTTAGATGCATACATGTAGATGCACCTGTAGGGTCTTTATTTATGACTTTATGTAAGTCAAAACTCCAATAGTCCAACTCATCAGAGCCGGGGCATCCCCGTCTAAGACATTGTCTACATGCTCTAAGGAATAGGCCCCGGGAACATGTATAAAATAGCGAGTCGACATCTGTATTACTACGTCTGGTATCTTTTATGTAAATTCATCCGTTTTGCTTTTTCGTCATGCTCATAATATACTCGGCTGCAGAAGAGACCGAATGTTATCTAACTTAGGTAATGCACTGTACTCTGAAATAATTTCCGAAGTTGATGGCTGACATTTTGAAATGCTGGTCTATTTGAAAATTGAAGTGTATACCTCTGAAATTTGAGACAGCCACAATGTTTAGCTCACACAGTGAGCCTATGGGATTGACCAGGCATCCGTCTGTCCGTTGGTCCATCCGTCTGTCCGTTGGTCCATCCGTTGGTCTGTCCATGGGCTTTCAATTAGAAATTAGTTGAAAGCCCATGTTCTTTTCATCCGTCAACATTGGCCGCACAAATTATAACTACTATTCGGATTGAGTCATATCCACATTAATTTTATATCCATATCCATAATGCCTATTTGACCTATCATCGCCATTTCCCAAGTTTGCCCAGTTTCCGAGAAATTGCTGATTTTGACGTCAAAAAGTCAAATTTTCTGTAAATACTAGACACTTTGTTGAAGTAGAACTTTCAAATAACTTGTAGTAGTTGCTGTTATTGCTGTATATGCAACTTATGTCCTCTGAAGATTTCAAAGCTCTTGGAATTACAGTTTTTGATGTTTACTCTATAAAATTTGACAAAAAGTAGGACTTATTCTTTTTCAGGAAACTTTCTCATGTATAAAGTCAATGGCAGGTTTTCTGATTGACAAGTTTCTCAAAGTTTGCATTATACTTGACCATTTCTTGCAATGAATTACATCATTACTAGATTTAAGCATTCCCTACATATTGCTCGATATATGTCAGCATCAAATTTTTACTGTTTTTGAGATATTTGACGTAAAAAACCCAGTAAAAATAAGTTATTTTTGAAAATCATCTACAAGTTACCAGGAGTTCAAATCTGACATTAGTTTTAGGATTTGACCTTTACTTGACATTCAGTGACCTTCGAAAGGTAAAAAAAAGTTGATTTTCCAAATTGATTTTTGGATGTAAATTTTGGTCAGCTTAATCACAAAAGACCTCTCTGAGCTCTGAATAAGTAAAATTTTCAAGGTCAAAGGTCAACAAACTAGTTCACACAACTGTGCTATCTAAGTTTCTCAAAGTTCGAGACTACAAATCCAAATCAATATTTTTGTTTGAAAGTCAGGATAGACATTCCTCTGAAGGTTCCAAACTGTGTGCGCACAGGACCGTGGGTCCTTTATTTTAGCTTTGAGAGAACGTTTTGGCTGATGTTTAGAATTGACTGCTGTAAGAAATACGTGTGTAGCTAGTGCCAATTTTTTTCAATTAAATATAATGTGTGGTTCTGTTGTATTTGTACATGTCTTGTTGCAGAGACATATAAAACAGGTACCTGTCTGACTGTATATACTGAGAGTAACTATTTTACCTCTACCAAGGGTGCATTTAAAAAGATCGATGATCGATTTCCAACATTGTTCCCAGAATTTTATTTGAGCAAATTACGTTAGATATACAATAAACGATCAGGATTCTACAGTGAGATACAATACAAGAGATAATCAAATGCCGATAATGTATAAAAATTAACAGATTTATTGTTCAAATACAGTTAATTTTCCCTCATCGATCTTTTGAAATGTTCCCAAAGATTTTTATCAGATTGAGATGATATTAATGCCAAGTGAAAGCGATTGAAACATTGATTATGATTTGCTAATATTCATGTACAGTAGAACCTGTATATCTGAACACCTGGCTAATTCGAACACCTCCCAATCTGAACACTTTTTTTGGTCCCATTTTTTCCTCCCATTGACTCCCATGTTAAAAAAACCTTGAAATGTGAACACCTCCCAATTTGAACAGTGAACAGTCATATTTGAAAAATTCACCTGTCTAATCTGAACACTTTTCATAAAATTTCTGATGTTTTATACAAAATTGCTCAAATTTTGTCATGATATCAAAACTTTGGGAAATAATCTTGAATGGTCGCATTCATAATGGGGCTTTCCAGCATGATTAGATTCATTTGAATCAAATTTTCAAATTTCTGGAATGCCATAAAGCTATGTGGTCAAAAGAACTATAAATATTTACCGAGATTGTATTTCTTCAGAATCCGGATTATTGCGGATGCAAAAACCTCGAAATGTGAACACCTCCTAATCTGAACGCTTTTATCAGGTCCCAATGGGATTCGGATTAGACAGGTTTTATTTTTACTGTATACAGTTCATTGTGACAATATTATCAACTACCTTTGTCAGCTCTTGCTAGATTTTTAAAATTAGTACCCTCCCGATTTGGACAAAAATACACAGTTTTAATATTGCTATGATCCCTAAAGCACTAAAGCAGACAAGTAGCTGTATTAAATTACATTGAAATTTGAATATGAAATAAATGACAGCTACCTATGAAGGCAAATAATTCAATGGCTGTAATTCTGATCAGTGTAGCATAACTCCATTAAGATTGACATATTCTGATTGGGTGATGCTAGATTTAAAGATTATTTTGAATTTAAAGAGTCTAGATGTAGCAATTTCTTTTAAAAGTGAAATCAAATTATTGAAAAGCACATTTTGATAACTGGGTAGGACTTAGGACTATAATATAAGCCAAAGTGGATTAAACTTCATATGGGGCCTTTAAAGAAGTGAGATAAAATTATTGAAAAGGGTACCTCAAATGGAACCTTAGAGGCTAGCAGTAAAACTTCTTACAAAGGGTAACTATCAATAAATCATGTTACCAAATTATCAATCAGTTTTTCAATTTGAATTGGTGTATTCATTATCATGTTTTGTCTTAGAGTATGTCAAAGGTCATAACTTATCAAATGCCTCTATTGTTGTATTATTTACAAGTGCATTGGGACTTATTAGATCCTTTACAATGTTAAACAATATCAACAAAGGAGCATCAAGTAGTTTTTAGCCAATTTTTAGAATTTTTGCCCAGGGGGGGTTGCTCGAACTCCTCGAACCCCCCTGGATATGGGTCAGGTTCTCTTCCTGAGATAGAAGAGGCATTGCAACTCTCAATGTTAATCTAATCATGCGAGATTTATTGATTGCTCTTCAGGCTTAATTGGGAGTGACGGGGGGGGGGGGGGGGGGGGAGGGGAACGGGGGAATTATGGGTAATCAAGATTTTCATGGCAGACCAGGAACTTAATATATCAATATTTCTAAACTCTATGTTGATAGTGCAAGTGACAGGTCATATTTAAGTTAAACTTTTACTGGATGTAAATCCAAATTCTGTTGAGCTGCTTGTTGATTTTTCTGTTTTCATTTGTAATTTAGAGGCCATTAACAATTGTATTGATGTAGTCAATGTCAAGCTTTATGAGCCTCATTGGAAAAACTGAACTGAATCAGTTCAATTCAGGCTGCATTCATTTTGCCAGTCACAACCTCATGAAACATGATTTCTCTATTGTTTTTTACCCAATGTTACATAATCTTCAGTGTCCAACTTGGTAACTTACCTTGCTCATCTCATTTTGGAATTCCCCAAAAAGTATATACCATGTTTCATGTTTTTCACATAGAGTGGATGATAGAAGACTGGTCCAGTATTTAGGATTGAAAATGATTTGAACTGATACGAAACATTCTAAGTTATACTGACATGTAAAATAACATGATAATTGAGTGACTGAGATAACTGAGTAGCACTCTGAATCTAGCTAAAAACTAACTACTCTAGACTTGGTGTAGACGAAGCTGCTTCGAGAACTGAAATCTAAAAAATGTGAAGGGTGATTGAGTAGCGTCTTAATGAGAATTAAGTACTATTATACACAACTATTTTTTAGAAGTACTTTTACCTTATGAAACACTTCACTTATTCCTGCGCCATCCTTCATTTAAAGTGCCTGGCGTCTTTCAAGTCAGAACAAAGTGGAGTATGCTTGAATAAGACATGCTCTAGAATTGAAATTAGGAAAAAACATCTATAAAGCTGTTTCTACAGATGGACTGCATGCATTAAGGATAGATTATTCTACAAAATAAAAATACCAGTATTTAGTTATTTGGATATGTGAAACACTCACTGTAATTTTAAAATGATTAATATGAAATATGTGAAGCATTATCTGACATTTGATAAGGATTAATTTGAAAAATGTGAAACACTGGGTTCTGTTAATATTATGGGACTATCCAGAATGCTGTGCAAGGGTTTAAAATGGAGTATAAGAACATCTACCTGTAGTCATTCAACAAAAGATTATGACAAAGGTATGGAGGTACAAATTAATTACTCAGATGCGAGTAGGTAGTTACCAGTTTCGCCACCAGGTGGCTGATTCGGGGGAAATAACATGGCAGGGTATTACAAAATTCCCTTGAACTTGAATATTCATCAGTTTTAGTGGTTCATTTTTCATATTACCCTTTTGTATCTGATGGTTATACAAATTAAAATATGTCCAGTAAAAGAATCAAGAAAAGATATTTCACTTTTTGGGATTTTACAACATGGGCTCTATGGGGAATCTCCCCGACCTAGAAGTCACATTTTCAAAGAAAATTAAATTTTCAAAGTTGATAAACTCTTTTCAAAACCACATTTCTAGATGTAATTCTACATGTAGATTCCAAATATGACATCAGTTTGACTGAATTTTAAATCAAGATTATATCTACTCGCATCTAGTCTATTGAATAAACCCCTTCTTGAGAATTATCCTTAGTTATGACTCTCTTGGACAGCAATTTGAGAGCAAAGCGAGAACAGCGTGTGGTGCAACAAGATGGTGGTGGCACCTTTACCCAGCACCTCATTTTCCACTGGTTAGCCACTCTCATAGGCTTTCCCAGTATCATATTCATAAGTCAACTCTTTCCAATCTATATTTAGCACTCATTCATTCACTTGTTCACTCATGCTGATATCAATATCAACTATTTGACAGTGGCTTCGATAGGATCAATAATTTTGTGAGGCAAATGTAAATAGGTGAGGCAAATTTAGGCTAAAGGAGGTACAGTATATTGTCACCTTTGGACTATATTTCTTTGAATTTGCCTCATATGCCTTGCAACATTCATACATTATTCACACACTTACATTTGATTTAATTTGATATTTTCAGTTGGTACAAGCTGGTATGCTTCAGTGTTTATAGTGGTGAATGCAGCCTTAGGAGCTGGTCTACTCAACTTCCCCAAGGCTTATAATGACGCAGGAGGAGTCCTTATTGCCATTATAGTGCAAATTGTAAGTTTCATTATTGCCATCATAGTGCAGATTGTAAGTTTCATTATTGCCATTACAGTGCAGATTGTTAAGATTCATTATTGCCATCATATAGTGCAAATTGTTAGTTTCCTTATTGGCATCATAGTGCGAGTTTCCACCATAGTGCATATTGTATGTCCCTTTATTTCCATCATAGTGCAGATTGTATGTTCAGTGTAGATTAAAAGTTTCATTTTTGCTAATATTTCCCATCTTCTTTTGTGCAGTAAAAGGTGGCCACCCTGGGGTTGATTAGAAACATCCACTGTGTCAAATTTGACACCTTAATAGCCCGACATATCTGGCAACTTTATTCATTCCACCCTTGCAATTTTAAACATGGCCACCATGAAATTATCATGTAACTTTCTTTTTTCACACTTTGCAGGTCTTAATGGTGTTCATCATCGGTGCACTGATAATCCTTGCTTATTGTTCCGATTCAAACCAGAGCGCCACCTATCAAGATGTCATCTACTCGATGTGTGGAAGACAAGCCCAAATATGCTGCTCATTAGCCATCCTGATATACTGCTTTGGGACGTGTATTACATTTTTTATCATCATAGGTGACCAATGGGATCGCTGTGAGTATTCACTTCTATTTTATTCAAAGGGTTCCTTAATGATGATTTATATATATATGTAGCTGTGAACTTAGTACTTTTAAAATAATAGTCTTTGTTTAGTACTATTCTTGCATTGCATAATTAAATACAATAAATAGAGAAATTGATTTGTATGATTTTAACATTTGCCTATGGCTGAGATTAGGCTGCTGCATGATTTGAACAATTTTCTACTTTTGTTTTCAGTCTTGACATTTGCCTTTTGGCCAGATAACTGCATGATTTGAACAATTTTTCATTTTTTCTTTTCAGTCTTGACATTTGCCTATGGGGCAGATTACTGCCATTACTGGTACATGTCTCGTACTTTTACAATGATAGTCTCATCAGTTATACTCATACTCCCTCTATGTTTTCCAAAGAGAATAGATTTCCTCAAATATGCAAGGTAAATATGTTAAAAAATATTGAAATCTTAATTAATCAAATCTGCCATGTTACATGTGTTAAAATATGATTGCTTTGAGTATGGCTTCACAGTTTCAAAGGTTCTTAAGAAATGGTAGTACAACAAAATGTGGCTCTATTAATACATAACAATATGTAAGGACTCTAACTGCATGACACATGTACATTATTCAAGTATGTACCTATTTCATAATCTTTCAAACTTTATGAAAAAAGATACATTGATCACACATAAATGAAACTATTTGTTTGTTCTAAGCATTTTACCTTGTTTTATATTTCAGTATAGCAGGTGTCTTTGCTGTTGTCTATGTAGTCATATTAATCACAGTTAAATATTTTGTGGGAGAAAATCATCCAGGACCAATCGCAAGCGAGTAAGTCTAATTTATTAATATAGGTTCTACACTTATGTAGGTAGTAGTGATCTCCCCAGCATAAAAGCAAGTGGGCCCTGCACCAACTTGATATTTAAATAATAGACTTTAACCCAACCGAGAATCAATTTGCACCCACTTGAAAATGAGAAAAATCACGTAAAATATGCATATTTTGACCTCATTTGGTCTGAATTGTGAATGTAAGAATTTTGCACCCACTTGAAAAATATCCTGGAGAGAATACTGGGTAGTGAATATAACGTATATATGGAGCCCATGGAATCACCCACTCAGCCATCTTTTCATTTACTATTTTAGCTAATTAGCTAAAAATGACAGGAATGATACCTTATTGATACAATAATAGAAATATAAATGTGTGATGTGTTAATAGTATATATGAATAATTATGAAGGATATAGGACTGGGGACCAAGTTGTGTCTTTGATGCAACATATTTGAAGTGTGTCTCCAACACAATCTTGTCACTTTTACCAAATTATGATCCCATCCCACTTATCTTAACAATACTTCTTAATTAAGTATTAATTAAGACATTGTTGGATTTGCAAACCCCTCATTGATAATTCTTCTCAATTTCAGACCAAAACATTGGACCAGTGTATTCCTAGTGGTTCCAGTTATATGCTTCGGATACCAGGTGAGACAAAATAAATGAGCCAGGACACAGGAGGGGTCTTTTCACAGATTTTTTCAATATTTTGATTTTTGTCTATCTTAAAAAGTACAAAGAGACCTTTCAAATGAGCCATGGCTTGTGTCTTAACAATTTTTCCTTAATCTTGGGCACTTTTTTGGCTCTGTAGCACAATTTTGATTTTTGTGATAAGACCGGTTTTCCTATGGCCAGGCTCAAATATTATCTATTCAAAAATATTCAATAACTGTGTTTTTCAATACTACATTCAATAGTGGGAAATCTGATTGCACCCAGTTAAAACACAGTAAGTTGTATCAAGTCCTTTTTGATCCTTAATATGGTTCTTTGGGCGTCACTGGTAGAATAATGTTCCAAGTGGGAGGACCCCCCAAAAACCATAGAGGACCAAAAAGGAAAAAGTTTCCTGTGAGTTAAAATGATTTTGACCAAAAACAGCCATAATACATGGATTTATCACCATCTGAAATAAGGAGCTCATGCAGTATAAGTGCAGTGTTATTCTGAAGCTTACTCCTGCCTTCTATAGCCATTGAAATAGATTAAAATGTACATGATTTTATCGCTCATGAATAGTCAATCGTGGCTTGAAAGTTGTCACACTTAGAAAAATGGATTGCTTCAGTGAATGTGTTATTTTATTGCTTTGTAACCATGGTGACAGATGCTCCCTTTAGAGTGTTAAATTACTCCACTGTAAAGTTATACAATTTTGATTTTCCTGATTTGATTTTTTCTTCCAGTGCCATGTCAGTGTAGTCCCAATATATTCATGCCTGAAACATCGAAGCGTCGGAGAATTCTTAAAAACAGTCATAGTTGCTATGGGGATATGTTTTGCAACATACACAGGGTCAGCCGTATTTGGATATTGGACATTTGGCTCGTATGTGAATGCTGATATTTTAGTTTCGTATAAGCCGACGCCTGATGTTTTAGTGGGTATAATATTGATAGCTGGGAAGATCTACACGACCTATCCCATATTACTGTTCTGCGAAAGGTAAAGTATGCTCACATACCACATTTTCGTAACCTTAAAATTATCAACCTGCTGAATGATCATGCATTTATATAATAGACATGCTACCAAAGGTTGTTAATGTAAAATTCTTACACATATCCAACTACATGTATCTCTTAGAGTGGATGAACCTTTATCTCTGATCTTAAAAATGTCTTAAGATTCAATATAATCAGAACGATGTGCAATCAAAAACCTTCTTTGTTGTAAATATAAAAGCTTGGAAAATTGCTAACCTTGTGAACAAAATCACCGTTAAAACATTCCATGAGGTGAAGTTACCTCATAAATTGTTTAATAAAATGTTCATGAATAATTTGTAATAATCTTCAGGGCAGCATTCGAGAGTGTCTGGATTGAGGTACGATCATTGACGCCTGATATGGTCCTCAGTGGTGAGAAGAAACGACGATACATACAGACAATCAGCCTCTTTTCCACCTCCCTAGCTCTAGCTGTCTTCATTCCAGATATAGGTGTGGTTATTTCAATGCTTGGTGCATTAGCAGGAGTGTTTATATTCATATTTCCAGGTAAGTTTTTAGCACTGCGTTAATTATATTTTATCACCAGTCTTGTATATTTTAGTTTTTCTGTTAAAAATTTGAATGAACTGCTTGATTTTCTAGTATTTCTGTACAATTTAAAGTGTCTACTACATGTCCATGTACTTTATTTTTGGTTTATTCAACTCATTTCCACTAGATTTTGAATTTGAAATCATAACCACAATGGAATTTTTCATGTCTTTCAGGAATGTGCCTTCTCCAGGCATTGCTGACACAACCTATAGGTGTCGCCTGGAAACGTAACATCTTGTATGCTCTTGCATTCGGCTTTATCGTCATCGGAACATTTATTTTTGGTCTGGTACTCACGCAAGCAATCATTGAGGATGTACTACATCCAGAGAGCAGTAGCAAGAAATCACATTCTTTGTGCCAGTGAGAATTTTATATGGCACTAGCATATTAAGCATAAAGAATATCTACCCCTGACCCTGATAATCCATTTGCTAGCCACAGTACATTCTGACTACTACAGATGACCTTGAACTTTGATATGGATAAGACCATATCAATCTCATGTGTTGCTTTTATGGGAGTTTGATTGTGAAATGATTGGAGGTAGAAACAGTGATTTTCTTCATCTTTTCTGTTGGACAAAACCAAAGAATTAACTCTAAATTAAAGAGTATGTATGATGTTGAGCTCAGAACAATGGTAATTAAATCCCCCATGACCAAAGAATTGACACACAGGTTGTGCTGTGTTGGCAATATACTGGGAGTGTGCAATTTGTGTTACGAATGTCAGGCTTTTTAGCCCATACGATTGAGTGAGGCAGTTGTAATAACCTACCTGTCTGCTTTTGTTTTATGATATTATAGTCATTTGTAAAGGATGAAATGAAATCATGAGAATTTAAAAGCTATTCTGTGCTATCATTAGTGCACAATCCAAGTGACATGTTGGATGTATTCTGTTGCATGCAGACAAATAAATATTTAAATGGGGTCGTAAATTGAAACAACTGTTCAATAAACTAAATAAATTATTATTTTTATCTAACATCTTGCAATGTATTATAAGCCTGATCGTTAATAAGTGCATTCTTCAATTTTGTCACTTTACAAAGCACACACAAAGCTTATTCTTTATTACATAAGAGGGATTGAATATGGTTTTTATTCAGATATGACGTCGCCTAATGGATCATAACAAACAATTGTTTTTAAGTACAATTGCAGAATTTGGTGAATACAATTAAAAAAGAAGGTATTATCAAGAATAAAGATCACCACCTGGTTGAAGTTATGAAAGTGTATTTTGAAAGTATAGCATTTGTTACATACAATGATGCGATATGGTCACCAAAAATGGTTGCTATGACAATGTCATGTTGTATGTATGTATAATTTATTTACCTCTTAAATAAAAGAGAGTTACATTCATATGATTTACATATAAGGACTTTAAGTAAGATAATTAAAACATATTAAAAAAATAAAAGGTTAGGAGAATAATTAATCTTTACACAAGAGTAATTGTCTATGCCTGTGCAACTCGTACACGTGCATCGCTATAAGTAGCAAGGTCTCCTTATCCTCATTGTATACAATTCCTAAAATCACTTTAAGAGTAAAATCATCGTTCATTACATTTAGATTTCCCCTTGCTATATTGAGTAAGGGTTTTCTGACATTCGTAAAAGCTGGGCAGGTAATCAGGAAATGCTTAACACTATCTCTTTCGTTGTCACAAAAATTACAAATTTCTGATATAGGTGTGTCACCCTCACGGCGTCTACTATTTACATCGTATGTCGATGTAAACAGCTTAACCATCATTTTACAGAGGTACATGAGATTGGGGTTTTCTTTAGCAATCACCCACCATACATTGGGTTTTAAAGTGGACAGCGATCCTGTCACCACATTTAGATTTTTATACATTGAAGACGATAATACAGTACAAAAATTGTGAAATCTCTTGACACGTCCGTACACTACAATTTTAAATTCTCGTTTGGATGAAATTTGAGCATTAAAAATCATGTCCTTAACATAGTCTGTGAGATTATAAAACAGAACCGTATCCCACATTTGAGCTAATGGAGACTTCCTACCCTGATATGTTGATTTTAAATACATCATTCGTATAAGCCTTTCTAAACAAATAACCTTATATATACAACTTACAGGCAACCTTAACAACATATACAGAAACATTAATCTATCACAGTCAATTTTTGCTCTAACAGAGATATAAAATTTAGCGATGAAAAAATCAGAACTGATTGAAGAATAGAAATGGATGGATGTAACATAAGACAATCGACTTAATAGAAAATACCTCAACATACATGTACGGTATCTCATAATAAGACAGTTTTCATGTTACTACCATGACATTTTGTTATATGTAGTCATCATTTTTGCAACTGGCTTTTGGTGTCAGTGTTCTCTGTAACAGTTGTTATACCATCCAGATGGTGTGACACCAGATGGTATGACATAAAATAACAAATCCCTCCAATCACCCATGGGCTTAAAGAAGGGGGCAGACAGCAATACAATACAAATACAGACTGTTATATTGTCATGTTCAAGAAGGTCAAGTGGCTCATCAGGATAGCCAATGGTTAGGAGCATGATGTTTGTAGTTATTATTCTATGTTTATTAATGAACTGAAGATAAAAAATTCATTGTTTTTCAGTGTATTTGTATTTTAAAAATATAGAATTGTGCAATTAATATTAAACAACAAAAATGATTTTACTGTACATCATATTTTTAATCTATATTTTGATTATAATAAAGCGACTAGATTGCAACATTTATATGACATGTTATTGTTTTTAATCTATAAAAATATATCTACAATAGATTGTTTATTTACAATGATACATAATGTTCCTTTTGTGTTAACTAAAAAATATGGCATTCTAACAGAACAACCATATTAGTTTCAATGTGGATAAATCTGTTGTATCATCAGTTAGCAGGGAGATACAATTTACATCCTGTAGAAAACCATCAACAATACATACACATGATACACAGTGTTTCATTTTTGAGGTTAAGTGATATTCGCTATTCTACAAAGCCAGAGTCTAGTGGAGTGATCACATTGTGGAAATGTGGTATTCAAAATAAATTCAAACATCACACGTAGGAGCAGGATTTAACTTGGAGATCCTGGAAATTTTCGACACTACAATTAATGCAACAAATCTCTGATATTCCTATATATGAATGTATTACATACCTAGCGAAGCATTTGTATGGAAGTCAATGGGAAAGTTAGCGAGCTATATCCACCAATATTGCCCGATTACCCCGATATAGCCCGCTTACCTCGTTTTGATATTAGATTTCTTTAATAACCATGATAATATCATGACGTCACGTCATTGATACAAAGTAACCATGGGAACAAAGGCATGTAATACATCAGTTATGTCACTATGACGTGAAATATGCCTTCGTTCTTGCCCAAATATAGAGCCTCCCAAGGTCGGCCTATATTGGGAGAACTCAGGCATATTTCACGTCATAGTGACATAACCTCTAAATATTCACCAGTTTTCTAATCTGTCTTATTTGATTGGCATGATCAGTGTGAGTACATGCTTACAATAGACACACATGAAATGTGTATGCTATGCTTGTCAAATGTCCAAGTAAATTAAAAGGCCAGATTTATACAGATTTTATAGTTTTCCATATAAAGGAATATTTAAGCTATATTACAGCAAATACACCAATTCAGCATTCATAGAAAATACATCAATTTAGCATTTACAGAAAATACACCAATTTAGCATTCATAGAAAATTCATCAATTTAGCATTTACAGCAAATACATAAATTTTGCATTTACAGCAAGAACATCAATTCAGCATTCACAGCAAATTCATCAATTTAGCATTTACAGCAAATACATCAATTTAGCATTCATAGAAAATACATCAATTTAGCATTTACAGCAAATACATCAATTTAGCATTTACAGCAAATACACCAATTCAGCATTCAAAAAAATACATCAATTTAGCATTTACAGTAAATACATCAATTTAGCATTTACAGAAAATACATTAATTTAGCACTTACAGCAAATACATCAATTTAGCATTCATAGAAAATACATCAATTTAGCATTTACAGCAAATACATCAATTTAGCATTTACAGCAAGTACATCAATTCAGCATTCACAGCAAATTCATCAATTTAGCATTTACAGCAAATACATCAATTTAGCATTCATAGAAAATACATCAATTTAGCATTTACAGCAAATACATCAATTTAGCATTTACAGAAAATACATTAATTTAATATTTACTGCAAATACATCAATTAAGCATTGACAGCAAATACATCAATTTAGCATTCACAGCAAATACATCAATTTAGCATTTACAGCAAATAAATCCATTCAGCATTTATACAGCAAATACATCAATTCAGCATTTATACAGCGCATTCACAAATAAATTTTTATTTCAATCCTTTCAGATCCCGCTGATTATGGCACTGATGGCAAATGTTTTTGGTTTACACCATTTTATATTTTTGCATTTTTGGGTCTTACACCAATATTTTATATACAAACTAAATTGCACTCGGCACTAACTCACAGCTAAACTATTTTTATAATTTCTTGGGTAACATGTTTTAAATATAGACCATCACTAAATAAAACTAGATAACGGCAACTCCGCGGAGTAGCAAATCCCAACGAACAAAATATCAATTACCGTATTCCAATCAATTATACTCATTACTTTGATTAAAATTGAAAAAATTAGATTTTAGAATTGTGAATTCCTGCAAAGCAGCCATTTTGAATTGTCTGAGGTACAAATCTGAAAAATAATACCATAATTGTGATCTACTCCAAAATTCCTTCAATTTGAGTATAATATAGCCATACTTTGAAGGGATTGAAAAATTATTGCGAAATCGTAGATTAGACGGCCATTTTGAATTTTAAGAGGCTCGAATCGGAAAAAAGATACAATATTTGCAATCTACTCTTAATTGCCTTTCATTTGAGTATAATAAAGCTATACTTCAGAAAGATCTAAAAATTAGCGAAAATTTCTGTTTTCCTGTCCCCCCATACACGGCCCCTGGGGGTCAGGATGAAAAACACGGAATGTATGTGAAACAGATGAATGTTGTGAATATACTACCAAAATTTCAAACAATAATATTAATTACTTTGGTTTAGAATGAAAAATTTATGATTTTTGCGAAAAAGTCCCGTCATTTTTAAAGCGGCGGCCATCTTGAAAAATTTTTTTGCGTAAAACTATTCATCAATATACATCTTTCCACTAAATATGAAGAAAATCCGTCAACTAGTATTTGAGTTATCTTCTGGACAGACGGACGGACTGACTGACTGACTGGCGGACGGACGGAGGGCTTCACTATATCCCTACCGAACTTCGTTCGTTGGGATAAAAAGTTTACTCATTCATTTTTATGAAAAATACATTAATTTTACCACAGGTAATCTTTTTGTTATTTTAGTGTTACAAGTATAGGGTGTTTCATAATATAGACTTGCTTAAGAAAAGTTCCATTCTTTTCTAATTATCTGGGTCACTCAGTATGCAGTATATACATGTTATCAGTATCACACCTCTATTAAACTGTTAAAGGCAGAATCAGACATGTCAGATCTAGCAACATTTACAAAATATTTTGGGGTTATATCATTCCTTCTCATGTCTATTTCCTTAAATTCCTCAAAGTCAATACTTCTATTATTGACAAAGGACATCTCTCATTCTCTAGCTCTTATAATAAATTTTTTATCCAGAAAGTTGATTTAATTTTTAGGTGGCTCTCCACAATCTGTGCTAACTTGGTTGTTTAGAAATTGTGAAAAATCTATGCCCAGGTTCATTCCCTTAAACAGTTTGATCGTGTCTGCATAATGGTCCATGTCATCTGAATTTGAAATAAACGCCTCCATGGATCCTGGCCCAGTTTGCAACTGCAGCATCTGGAAAATACAAATTAACAGATGTTACGACTAATAACTGATAATTGACGATAACATAATTAATTATATATGATTATTAGTAAATAGGTTTTTCAAAATAGAGAGACAATGAAAAAGTTTATTTGCAACTAACTCTTGCAGGGCAATGAGGTACTAAACATGTATATTACATGAGTTCAATCAATGCTCTTTGAAAGTTTAATTATTTCAATAGTTAAACTTTGTTTTAGAATACTCTCTTTTTGTCATCTCGATCTTAAAATGACTGAAGTTAAAGGTTTCCTGTTCTTGCAAGATGCAATTTCTGTTATCCCGTTTTAGTAAATTAGAGTTGGAACGAATAGTTTATTCATTAAAATAAGAAATAATGTTTCAACTATTTTAAGAATATGAGTATTTACAAGAACTTGGCCATTTGCAAGAATTCTTACCATGACTTAAACCATTAGGGATTCTTTAATCAGCTCAACAAAATTATCAACGTGGTCATTTTCTGAGACGTAAAATGAACGACAATCGAGAGTGTTTGAAGGGTCTTGTCCACGATTAAAGTAGAGCTAAAATGAAAAATTACATTTTTTGCTATTCAATATCTGCAAGTTCAGGCTTTGGATGTGAAATTTAAAAAGGTTAATTCTATGCAAATATGTTTAGTACCTCATTGGGCCAAATCAGTAGTTGAAAAACAAAACAAAATAACAATCCTATGTAACATAAAATTTTTGTAAAATCACTCCTAATTGAAGATTTCTGGGAAGTAAAAGTGTAGGAGGCAAAAACAATGTGGTCACATAAAATTCCAAATATGGATGTTATGTCAGTTGTTGAGTCAGTGGCGGATACAGGGGGGTGCGCGCGGGACGCACACATCAGTATCCATATGCTTATATTTAATGCAGTTTGGGGACCTTTTTTGTGTTTTTTTCTGATTAAAGCCATTTATAACAGAGGTTCTTGGGGGTTGGTACTGATTTAAGGAAAGACTCTTTCTAGGGCTTAACTATAAATTGAGAACTAATGCTCTGATTGGGAAATAGAAAAGTATCATTCACTTCATTTTCATTACATCTTTCTAATTCTAATTTCTGTTACTTTCTTCCCTTTATCCTTTTCAGTTTTCTGTTGTTAATCACAATGAATCATTTTATGGTTCGACTAAAATATGTACTCTGTGAAAGACTGAATATGTAGAGCCTGAATTGAATGAGGTATCTTTTCCTTGAAAATAACATTCAAATTGGGAAGCAATTAACATTTCTGAACATTGGAATTATTTTAGCAACCCCTTGATACTTTTATCACTTATTGCTGTTTTTTCTTTTCCTTCTTTATCAAGGAGGAATTTCTTAGGGTGTATGTGATGATTGAGGTTATCAATGATCCCAGGTTTCTTTTCAGGTGTTATAAGTATTATACTTTCAATCCTTTCATGCTCTATATTTCTTTTCCAAAGGTGTAATTGTTTATATACAAGTACTTTTAGTAGATGATTGGTCATCATCAACATCAGACATCAAAATCGAAGTCCAATAAATCTGGAGGTTCGCCTTTAGCAATGCGTTTGTGTCATTACTGATTGAATCATCATGTCTATCCAAAATTAGGGGTTGATCATCAGTTCTGACAATGCTATCAATAATATCAGATAATTATCAATCATGATAACACTTTCCTCATCACTCAATGTACCTCTGCTTTGAGATTTCAATTTTTGTTTTATCTGGTTGACATATCTTTCATACCATGCTGCCCAAGGTGCTGCTTGGTTATACAAGTCTGCTGGATTACAGTTTCTAGTTACACTTCACTATTTCAATTTATTTAGGGGCCAATTAGATTAATGGTACTAATCACCTCACTTCTCAATCATATTTCACCAATGTTATCATTATTAAGATATCCTTTATTTATTAGGATTATGGTTGTGACTTAAGACACCTTGTTATATTCAAATATACCATTTCTTTGGCAAGCTAAGTTGCTTTAAAGGTTATAATATAATGTTGATACATCATATATATATAGATTAAAAATGCAAACTATGTTAAGATTTATGACATTTACCTGTGTTTTTACCTAATATCTTTCATTTTTCCCAAAAAATCTCAACTTCTCACAACAAGCAAAACTCATATTTTCAGTTTGATCTTTTGATTTATTAATGTGAAAACTGTTCAATAAATCTTTTCATAGGCTGATATTTTTGACCATAATGATCATCATTGCTAATGCCAAAATTGCGAAACAAAAAAATGTGATATTTAGAAAATACTCAATATCTGGTTTCATCCCACTGGCGGATTAGGGGGGGGGGGGGGGGGGGGCCTGGGGGCCCGGGGCCCCCCCCCTTGGGTGGGCCCAGAAAAAAAAAATTGGGCCCATAAAATTTTTTGGGCCAAATAAGGCCTTCAGGCCCCAAAAAGTGGGCCTTTTTGGTCATTACTGGGCCTTGTAAGGCCTTATTTTTTAATTTTAGGCCAAATTTTGAAGAAAATGGGCCTCAAAATTTCAAAATTTGGGCCCACTTTTGGGTTTTAGGGGCCCAAAAAATTTTTCCGCGCAAGTGCGAACTTTTTTTTCCAAGACTTGAAATTTGGGCCCCCCCTTGTTGATTCCCAGATCCGCCCCTGCATCCTGACTTGAATCATATTGGATTGCAATCATAATACTCGGAACTAAATTATCTTTCAGCTTTCAATAATAAATATTTTTTTGACACTTGAGAAAAATAGAAATTTGCCTTGCAACATCAGTTTCGTGAAAATATGGCTTTTTTCATGCTTTAACAAGTGATAACTATTGAACCGAAAGTTCAATTTGCTTCAAATTTTCAGCATTTCTTCATTACTTTATCTTTATGAGAAGGTAGAAATATGTAATCAATAGATCATTTACCTTTAAAGATTAGCTTTCTAAATGATACCTGACAAAAATGTGCAGAATACTGTGATATGGCTGAAAATATACCTGTTTCAAATACAGTGAATATGAATGCTGCACTGTTGCGATGATCATGGTCATATCCATTTTCTCTCCAACAGCTAATTTCTGGCCAAATGCAAGACGTATTTCTGTATCTGGTACTGTTCCGCCACTTTGATCAGTCAGGAATTTCCCCAGTTGTTGGTTGAACAAAGTCTTCTCAAAGATCATGGTACGTTCATTGCGGACCAGCTTAGTTGCTTCCCCATTGTTGTGAAACATTGTGGAGAAGAACACAACACATCTGCGAAAATAACAATAAAGTGTTTACAATACTGGTGATTAAAGTGTTTACAATACTGGTGATTAAAGTGTTTACAATACTGGTGATTAAAGTGTTTACAATACTGGTGATTAAAGTGTTTACAATATTGGTGATGGATAAAGATGATTATTAATACATCATTGCTAGAATCCCAGAATTCTGATTGGTGTATTGTAGTATCATGTGATCAAAAATACAGATTTTCACACTACACCTCCCTCAGTCTATAAATTGATAAAAGATTGCTTGCTCATAGAAAATGACCATAGAGAATGCCTTGCAATAATATCATAAAACAAATATTTCATTTTATATTCCAACAATGCCCATGGCTAGGGTATACAGAAACAAAAAAGTGAGACGCCGACCACCCGCCAGCCACCCGTCAAGCTGACGATAATATCGTACCTTTTTTAGGTACAATAAAAATCATTGATGTATGAACAATATAAGCATATTTCCCTCAATATAAATCTTATTCAATGAGAAAGCAATGAAATTAAAACAAAATACCTATCAAAAAAATTTCCATTTCTAAAATCAAATAGAGAAACTTAATCAGTCAATTTTACCAACCTGCAAAGGCGTGTGGCATAGATATCCCCTGAATTGTCACATTCTAAGATGAGACCCCTGTCCATACAGGCTAACAGTTTATTCGTGTAATCTAGTTGTTTCCGATCTCTGATAATGCCTTCCCCTGGAGGAAATGACAATTGCTCTGCCCCTGGTGGTCCAAATAACTAAAATAATTCAGAAACTATTAGTACCTGACTAAAATAATATATCAGGGTTATTTACTTGTACAATAGGAACCTTCACACTATTACACTATTGACCATCACTGTGAAAATTGAATCCAAAATATGCAACAATTTGTCACCTGACCATCAAATTTCAATATGTCTTACAGACAGACCGACTAATTTATCTTTCAGACCAACCTGCTGAGGGAGACAATTTCCATCCTCCGTCACTGCTGGTTGTAAAGAACTATCCCCGTGGAAAAGTCTGCAACCTTTCTCATTCGTGATACGGTACTCAGCTAGCGTGTTAGTACGGAAATTCAATCTCACTTGGAACTCGTTGTCTAAAAGAATCCAGAATAAAAGTTTACCTAACATTATTTTACTAATCTTGTTTTGAAATATAGTTTATATGTTTGCACCACTAGCCAGACAAAATATCCTCTGACACTTTTAAGTATTAAAGTACATGGAAAAATGCTGTAATAACGGTGGGTCCATTTATAAACCAATTGACAAAAGGACAATAATCCACTTTCAAGTTCTCAAAGACGTGTGTCACCTTAGGTGTAACTTAACCTCTCTAATATTTAAATAATTTACCTTTAGGCTGCTCCATATTCTGAGGCTGTACCTGTGGGGATACTATAGGCTGGGGGTTTGTGTACTCATGGGCTGTAGTGGAGGTTGAGGCGGGGACGGGAAATGCCTCTGCTTGGCCTGGATAAGGCTGATCCACATCCATGAAGTTTGAGTCATCAGCCATTACACTTGCTGGGGACCCTGGAATATTACATAAAACAAGGGTTGGTTTTACCCAGCCGCAACTGTGATCTGACATATTAACCATGTCTAAGCTCTGCCCAGCCTAGACACAAGCTCTAACTAGACCCTATTGTATTGGTGACTGTTTACTACAACTACTACTGGTACTACTGGTGCTACAACAGACATGTCAAAGGAGAGGGGAGCATTACCCCTTTGTCTGAACTTCTTCCCACCAATAGGGGATAGGAAGGGGGTGTTGATGTCACTAACCAATGATTTTGAAAATGAAACTCAAGATTGAAAATATCAAGGAGAGGCTACCACTAGTTATTAGTCAATTTATACTATGCAAATATTTAATTATATTTTCAATGATTAGTAAGATTTAACTAATTTCAATTGCCTTAACTGTAGTATTCTGAAGAAAACTGGCTACTGCCCTACTCCATGAATAAAAGACAGCAACAAACATATAGTAATGGACAAGAGTGATAAGAAAGACATCAAGAGTTCAATGTCTGATAGGAAACTAAATAAATCTAGTTTTGAGTTTGACCCCCCTCCCCCCAAAAACTGAATACCATGATCGCGGACTTTTCGCATGCTTTTAAAACTAGATTTATTTAGTTTCCTATCAGACATTGATCTTTTGATGCCTCCTTTAAGTTAGTTTCAGACTCACCTTGTTGACCGACGAATGTAGGGCTAGCTGTTGCGCGCTTAACAACAGGTTTCACCAGATCGCCCGAGGGTATATTCTGAAGGTCTGGCCCAAGTTCTCCAGATCCTACATTTATTCCATTAAGAACTCCAGAGCCTAGACTAATCCCAGATCCCAGCCCACTCATACCACCGGCTGAACTACCGGAGGAAAGACTTGACGATTTCATCAAGCAATCTACAGTTTGTGGTATGTTTGGTATGTAATGAGCACCCTGTAGAGAAACAGAGCACACACTTTTAATTATTCCAAAATCATAATGAACATCTTTAATCCCCCTCATTATGTTTAAATGAATCCCCCTCATTATGTTTAATGATTAAAGGTTGTATGTGTGGATCTGGGATTAAAAACTAGTGATGTCTGTAAAGTGTAAATTAATGGACAATATATTTTGTGTTCACACAGTACATCCATTAATCCTACCCCCATAAATGTGGGGTTGATTTTTCAAATTACCCCCACAACTACTTGTGGATAGAATTCTTGGGGTTGAATAAGCTGAATTAATGGTTATTTAGATAAAATTCAGCTGTGAGTCAGCAACTGGCAATGCTTTAAAACCATAAGATTGCAATACACAAGTAGTCAAATCAAACCCACATTTATGGGCTGGGGGTAATCCATTCCCTTTTTGCCTGATTCAATAAAGATTTCAAATTTTTTATTAAATTTTAATGATCAAATTAGAAAATGTGATTTGTAGATCAACTGGACCTGCTTACATACCTTTATTTCCTTTCAATATAAAATATTCAAGCTGGCTCATTAAAATTTCACTATGGGGAAATAAGAGAAACTGAAACTGAAACCAACCCAGGAAACTTCATTTTCAAGTATTTCTTTAAGTAGAAACAACACAGAATTCAGAACTAGTTCAAAATTATGGGTCTACATATGCATGGGATCCAACTTAAAACTCTTTGCAGTTTCTCACAGCACACAGTAAAAGGATCGAGGGATGCTGTGTAACAGAATAATGCACCAACAGAAAGGCATTTTTATTTTGCTTTTTATGGAAAAAGTTTGAAGAAAAACAGTGCAGTATGAAACTCACAATCCTTGATTTTCAAACATCTGGTAGGTCTAGAATTCAAATTAATGGTTTTTCAACGTGTATCATTTGGATCGTGATATCGGCTAGGCATAAAAATATATATTGTCAGTGAAAGTGGACTTAAAAAATTATACTTGATATTTATTGATTTCATTTATACTAGTTCACTAACGCAAACTGGCATTGCTTCTTACAAAACATAATAAGTCTTAAAGTATCGAAACATAGGAAGGCAACGCTGCATGGAAGTCTATTTTCCGAGGAAAAAAAATGGACAAATGTAGCTACAAACCTGATGATTGAAATCCATGAGCTGTGGATCTGGACCAAGAAGGCCATGGTTAGATCCAGGTTTGATTTCTGGTGAGTGACACCTCTTTCCTCCACCTCCGTTGACTTTGCCCACAAACTGGTACACTTTGTATGGATCCATACTATCATCCAAGTTGTTCTTTTGCTTGATTTCCTTTAAAATATGACTAACCAAGTTAAGTAAGTTAAATGTGGTTCTAGTTTGTCTGACTTTTCTATATTCTGATAAACTACTGGATAAAACTTCCAGTTACCAAATTTATAATGGGGAGTGTATCTTTTATAACATGACATGAAATAAGGAAATCGTGTCAAAAGTCATTGAAGGTTAAATAATTTAAGCCAATGACATGTGGATGAATTAAAGCCCAATGGTCTTGATGGTCTTGAATGAGGATGGGGGTCTGAATTCAAATGGGAAACTAGCATAAAAAGCACAAGTGCATCAAATCACCCACATTCATTGAGTCACGTGCTTCTTTTCACACATAGCAAAATATCACTGAAAAGAATGAAATTCAACCATAAATTCTTTATTCAAGGGTGCATGCAATTATAGCATTTTTCATGTTGATTTACCGTATTGTGCTGCCATCTTTCAATGGGTTTCTTATAGGTTTTGTAGGGTAAGGGATTGCCTTTCATTTCCTATAACTTGGGGGTATTTAAGAGAAATTTTGGGCTTCATTCAGTAGAGAGTTAGATCGGGGGAACATCACACATCATTTATTTTCATCTTATTAATCTCATTCTCTTTTTCATTCTTTCTTTATCTTTGAACAGTTTTATTTTATACTGAAGAGTGTAATTGTACATGTTTAGTCTTTTACTTGGAATAAAGTATAGTTTTATGAGTATATTAATTCTGTGTTAATCTTGTCTTTTTTACATTACAAGACCAATCCATATTATTTTATGAAGAACCCACAGAGCTATTTAAACAACAAAGCTCGAAGCTTCATTGGTGGCAGCGGTGGGATTGGTCGTTGTCTTGTAAAGAGATTCTTTTCGCAGTTTTAGTGTCTTTATTTTCATTAAAGAGTGGAGATTAGTTCTCTTCACATCTTTAAATTTGATTAACTTTTACTGAAGAGTGGAGATTAGTTCTCTTCGCATCTTCAATCTAGCTTTACTCTTACAAAAGAGCGGAGATTAGTTCTCTTCGTTTCTTTCTTTTAAGTTAGGTTCATTCTATACTGAAGAGTGAATATTAGTTCTCTTCAACTCTTTCTTTAGGATTTTGTCTTCATATCAGTTTACTTTGAATGAAGAGTATTTGTGTTCACTGTACTATTAAGTATTAACTTTGTCTTTATGCACAATGTTTGTTTATGCATGCATTTAAGTTGACGATCTTCACTTAAACGACTGATAATGATCTTGCCTTGTGTACGCTCAGTTAATTTATGCGTAACTTTACCTTGATCTTGTGAACAAAGAGAAGACAAAGAGTCGAGAATATTTTATGTTTACACGTGCTATTGTTAAGGGAATCATCATTTAGTAATGAAGACGGGCTCCCGTTGTAGTTACTTTTAAAATTGAAATACGAAAACGCTTGCATTTCAGCGTTGTACTAATTTCTGTATTTGCTATCAACAAGAAGCTCATGTAACAGGCTCCTGTTTTAGTTACTTCAAAAACACTTTCTTTTACTTTCTTTCTATCCTTTATTTCTACAATTGTGCATGCTAAGACGCATTGCTTTAAAATTGGCAAAATCGAGCGCGTATCTATTTGTTTGGCTGTGGCTATAGTGTTAGGATTGTCCCGAATTGGTGTTAGACGAAATTATGAATTGAGAATATTTGATTTGAATGTTCGAGATCTAGTTTTTGGTCTTTGTATTTTGTAAAAATCCCTGTATTGATGATAAAAGCGTACTTGATTCTGTTTGTGTTTTGATATTACGTATAGATTATAGCTCATTCATTAAATAGAAGTTGATACCTTGTGAATATGGAGGGGAAGGATCAATGTGAAAATGGGTGTTCTGTCGTGTTAGGTGCCGTCGGGGAAGATGAAGATGAGAAAGACGAAAATAATGAAAACTTTGATTTGATTTGGTCAGATAAAAATGTAAGTCTCCATGACGAGAAAGACACAGATGGCAAAATCACGGTTTCACCTGAAAGTCAAAATGAAGAAAAGAAATCGTCGGATGGTTTATTAAGGCGTAGTCTTGCTTCAATATTGAAATGCAAGAAATAGAAGAGCGCCTACAAGATATGGATGGGATTAATTGATTGTTTAGTCAAAGAATGTATATAGTGTGTATAAGCAGAGACCTATAAAACATTTTATATGTCTCTGGTATAAGTAAATATAAAGGGAACATATTTAGTTGGCTAGTTGGTTAGTTAGGTAGTTAGGTAGATAGTCGGTTAGTAGTAAGTTAGTTAAATGTGTGCTGCATGGGCATTGTTTATCTCGTGATTATTTAAAAGGGAAAAAGTACATAATACAGAGTTAAGTAAAAGTCATCAATGCATACCTTAAAAGATCTTTTATTTCAAACTCTCAATGGAATTGCATATAGGTATATTTTAATGGCTAGTGGATGAAAACATGACTTGCAAAAGAAATTGTTAAGGGGAGGTAAAGCCTTTCAAGTATGAAAACAGGACCATTTTGTAGTATTGAAGAACATTTTTCTTTATTAATTATGCATAGAAAGAGTCGAACATCCGTATTTGGCAAGAATGCATGTTTGTTTTGTGTCGCTGAATCGATGAATGAGATTTGTCATTTTTGTAATATGTGGTTGCCCGGGCAATTAGAAGTAGCAATTAGAAGTAACAATAAAGAGTAAACAATTAGAATTAAAAAATTAGAAGTAACAATAAGAAGTAAACAATTAGAAATAAGTAATTAGAAGTAAACAATTAAGAGTGAACAATAAGAAGTAAGCATTTAAGATAATGAGAAGATTGAAAAAGTAACTTTTAAAATGAGATTTCTGAAGACAATTTATGTTTTACAGTAATTAAACGTGTGCTTGTCGAAAATACACATAGGGATCGTTTTATCTGGTTTTATTAAGAGATATGAAATTCCATGAAAATGGAGGGGGTAGTTTGAGACTGGTGGTTTGTTATAGAAAATTATGATGGAATTTCATATTCCATTCGTGTAGTAAGGCCTGGCATTTTAATATGGTACTTAAATGATGAGATGTAAAGTCGGCTTTTTGTCATGTGTTCTTGGATATTGCATCTAAGTTGATAAGTTAGCTAGACGAAGAGAATTCATTGTTGTTAAGTTATGAGATTTGAACTAGGCTTCTTGTCATGTGTTCTTGGATATTGCATCTAAGTTGATAAGTTAGCTAGAAGAAGAGTTCAATGTTGTTTTAAATGAGGTTGTGTGGTTGTTACTTATTCTTGGATATCGCATCTAAGTTGAATCATAGGTAACAAATGATCCACATGTAAAGCAGTGGGGTAGAATAACTGGTATTTATCCTTGGATATCGCATCTAAGTTGAATCATAGGTATCAGTTAGCCCATGTGCACTGACAGTAACATTAGTTGGAATTACTCGGTATTATGTAGAATTAGTGCAGTTTTGTTTTAAGACTCGGCCTCATAAACCAGGGTTGGAGAATAATTTTGCTATGACTTTAAGAGGAATCAAATGGCTAATAATTTTAAATATTACTTACAGTGAGCAAGTTGTATCTTTTCAGGATGCGAAAAGCATAAAAGTATATCGCATGTTTTTCTGTTTGTGTATTGTGGAAATTGCATCATAAGATTATGATGATTTTAGTCTATCAAGAAACATATTCCTGCTGGACGGGATAATGTTATCTTTGGGATATCTTGTCTTTAAGTTTCTGATTTTGCATTTTATTGTTTTATTCCACACTAATTTGTTATGAGATTTTGCCATGTACATGCTCGAAATATTATGGTTATTTCCCGAGCGGCAACTGGATAATGTTATGATGACGATCATAAATTGTCAAATTTAGGGTTCAATAGAGAATTGAATTGAAGCCCAGGCAAGTGGTTTTCTCAGTTTTGTAAGAAAGTACAAACTGTTGATCCTACAACGAGATTTTGTTATGACAGCCATCAATCATCAGGTTTAGTGAAATGAATACATGAGAGATTAGTCATTTATATTTGAATATAGCAATTTGTTTGTATTTGTGCAATACATAGCGCTAAGTATGAAAATATAGAATTCTTTGGAAAATCCAAAGTAAAATGCTATTGTGCACTGAGGTGTTACTGATTTACTTTCGGAAACAAAGTCCTAGCAAGAGGGGGCGACTTGATGAAAAGGTTTTAGTAATCTTGGCAGAGTCTGAAACCCATGTTGCATTATTGATGTTAATGTTAAATCGCTAGATATGTATAATTGTGTTATTACTTTTTGGAATTTGTCCTGCTCATTATGGAAAACATGTTAAGCCATATTTATATTCTTTCTTACTGTTCGTAAGCAATTTGCATCTTTTATTTTAAAAGACTAACCACTCAGTGCATTTCAAAGATAAAGACAAGTTTCACAAGTAACAATCAGAGATCATTTTGAAGAATAGAGAGAAAATGTAAATAATTTCATGAAGAGTTGAAGTTGAATAGTTGCTAGAAGAGTTGAAGAGTTGAAAAGCGCTCAGTCATGAAAGACAAGTCAAGTGAAAAGTTTGTATGTTGAAGAGATAGAAAGACTAGTTACTTGTCAATGAAGAGAAATTGATGTCTTGAAGAAAATTAAATTCATGAAGAGTTTAGAACACGAAGAAGACTTGTTTATGTCACATAGAAAAGCAAGTTAAAGACATGTTAATAAAAAATGTTTCTTAAAGACACTTTTGGAGAACTTTTTGAGAATTAAAAATTAATTGCCCGGGATCCCAGTAAGCGATTTCCTATGACGACCTGAAGTAGATGACGACTACCTAACCTTGAAGAAGCGATGAAGATGACCTGTGAAGGCGATGCCTATGTCTTATGGAGATGCAGACGACGCGGATTTCGGATGGAGTGGAGCCACAAAGGATTTCGACAACTGATGAAGGAGCTGAAGATGTACGATCTCCTGTTATTATGAACAATTCTTTTCTCCAATAAAAACGTTTATTATGAACACTGCTACAAGGAAATGGATATTTTATTATGGATTCTTCAGCGAAGATACGGACATATTCGATAAAGGACACGATGCGGACGTGCATGTGATATACGGATTATGGATATTATTTCGACTACTAAGACGGTGCATATTTTGGATTCGAAAATATTACATCGTGGACTAGATACACGTATTACATCATCGCATTGGATCCAGGACTAGATACGCGGATTATAAAATCGGAACTTATTATGGTTTATTATAACGACGTTTATCAACAGGAACTACGTATGAAGCAGTTTAAAGGATATTTGCACGAACTCTGCGTGGATATTTCATATGAATATTGGATATGGATATGAATTATACACGAACTATGTATGCGGCACTGTGTTAGTAAACATTCATATAGGACATTGTTAAAATATCATATACATTTATCTAGATTTTGCATATTTTCAGTTTTTAGTACGTACAATGTCAGGAGAATTGTCATTTTATTTGGGTGGGGGTTGTATAGCATTTTTCATGTTGATTTACCGTATTGTGCTGCCATCTTTCAATGGGTTTCTTATAGGTTTTGTAGGGTAAGGGATTGCCTTTCATTTCCTATAACTTGGGGGTATTTAAGAGAAATTTTGGGCTTCATTCAGTAGAGAGTTAGATCGGGGGAACATCACACATCATTTATTTTCATCTTATTAATCTCATTCTCATTTTCATTCTTTCTTTATCTTTGAACAGTTTTATTTTATACTGAAGAGTGTAATTGTACATGTTTAGTCTTTTACTTGGAATAAAGTATAGTTTTATGAGTATATTAATTCTGTGTTAATCTTGTCTTTTTTACATTACAAGACCAATCCATATTATTTTATGAAGAACCCACAGAGCTATTTAAACAACAAAGCTCGAAGCTTCACAATTGTCAACAATTTTACATGTAGTTCACGGACTCTAGAAAATAAATGATAGCAAAAGCATGACATGGAACGATAACGAGGTCAGAAAATATCGTAAAACTTTGGGAAAATTTTTAAGACTTAATCTCAACTCATCTTGTTCCATTGAATTCCCATCTTTATCCATTGACTTCAATTTTCAGGTAACAACAGTGGAGTTGAGTCCATTGAGTTCTCAATTAAAGCAAAGTGAATAATTGACCATTTCTACATACAAATCAATGTTACAGTTATAGTACCTGGATTTCCTTTGATTTGGTGAATGCACATCTTAGTCTAGTCTTCCACGTGGGGAAATCTTCCGTATCAATTCCTTCTCTGAACTTGCCTGTTTGGACAGCCCATGCCTAGGAAAAACAGATCCCAATTATTGACAATCTTTATCCATTCGGCACTTGTCTGCCTGAATACAGGGAAGACTACGTGTGCAAGATGATTACCTAGCTACAGCCCCAGGCCTGTCAACCTGAAAATTCTGAACGAACTGCGCTCATTTTTTCTGTGTTCGTTTTTCGGCATACATTTTTCTGATGGGGTCAACCCAGTTGTCCGAAACCCAGTTGTCCGAAACCCAGTTTTCCGAAACCCAGTTGTCCGAAACCCAGTTCTCCGAAACCCAGTTCTCCGAAAATTAAAAAATTAAATTTCTTAGTAACGAATCTTGTCGCAACCTCGCGAATCAGGACAGCATAACATTGGGATCACGTTGACATCGGTTAGCCCGGTCAATAATGGGTCCGAAAGTTCACGATCATATATATATTCTTACTAGATTCTCGGCACATAGACTTATATGGACATTCTACAAATTTTGAACCGCATTGTCCAGCACGAATCGCACTCCTTCTTGGTGAAAATTCAAGACTGCCGCCAACATTTTAGACAATTATCACAGTCGAAGAGAATATTCTGGCGAAAGGAATATCTATCTCATTAGAATAACGTATGGACGTCCGTGTCAATTATATAATATTCATTTGATAATTTTTTTCATTCCCTTTCCTCAATAAAATATGGTTAATTATGTTTTCCAATATCAATTGATAATATTTCTACCCTGAAAAATATCTAAAAAGAAGATTTTGGTTGTTCAGTACCACCCATTGTTAAGATTTCGTCCAAATTTTTTTGAGAGGGAATAACATTTTTCCAATGGGTGATGGGCGTTCATAAAAGGGAAATAGTTTTCCCAAGCCAGTGGGCATTTATTTAGTAAAGTTGACGTGTACATCTTTTGAAACCAAAAATGATTCTTCATTTAGGTACTCTGTTCGAGAAATAGAGATTAAATTCAAAAAGATGAAGTGAGTACATGGCGAAAATGAAACTTCTTGCGAATGGGAGAACATCCAATTTGATACGAGGACAGCCTGTCTTCGTTTCCAGTTAATCCCAAGTGATTACGTTTAGAATGTTTTGTTCTTTTACATTTTACGATTTGATAAGAGACAGAGACTAAGAAATTAAATGCGACGAAACATTTTGACAACGTAATATGTTTACAGTGTTTATTCTTAAATCGGTTTCAAAATGTTCAATTTTATTTTGCCTATATAAAATATATTGAATAAGATAAAATCAACTGTTTCGTAATATATATTGTGTTTTGATGACCTTTTTTAGAATCACAATGTAAAATAAATCCCCCGTTCCTGTCATTCTGGTAACGCCGTGTAATGGATGCAATTCAAAGTGAGAGAGAGAGAGATCTATACATCAGGATGTTTATGTTTATGACTAAATTTTTCGGACAACTGGGTTTCGGAAAACTGGGCTTCGGACAACTGGGTTTCGGACAACTGGGTTTCGGACAACTGGGTTTCGGACAACTGGGTTTCGGACAACTGGGGTGCACCCTTTTCTGATGTTCTTCTCCTGAAATATTTTTGCTTGCCAATAATCAGAAAAAATGTGTTTTTGTTTGACATATTCTCGCGCAACGGCAATAACTGGGTCTTCAATTTTTTCAGCAAATGTGTGACAATACCCAAATTGCAGGACAGTTGGACTGCCTGCAGCCCTACGATAATGTTGTCTCAGTTCAGATACCTGCTACCCTTAAATGTGCAACTGAACATGTATCACATGCAGTCAAATCAATAATAGGTATTTTCAAATACTTTGCATTGAAAAAGTTTGCCAAAATATACATACTGTACTTAGATTTTCGGCACATACAGTAAAATCTGTCTTAGGGAACACCTTTCTCAAGTGACTCCATAGGTGTTTAATGTATTCAGGTTTCAGTTTACATGTGTATGGGCAATATTGGTTAGATTGATTCAAATCAAATGATCATTTAAAAATTTCATGTGTGCTAATAAAACAAAAGCTTTTACCCCTTCCCCAAAAATAATCTATTTACTATATTCGAGGAAGCATTTTTAAAAATACAGTTGGGGACAAAAATAAATGACAGTCTGAAAGCCCATAATTTCCAATATTGTCTGGATACATATCCCTTAAAATTTGTATATTTTACATTTTGTATAATCTCATCCACTGATTTATGGCCTCTTGTAAATTCTCTTATTTTTAACATGGGAAATCCTCACTTCAGCAAATCCACCTGTCATTTATTTATGTCCCCAACTGTATGTCAATTTGTTCGATTTTTATAACTTTTAGTGTCTTTTGATAAAACAAAAAGTACCTTAAATATCGCTCCATTTTCCTTAGACCAGTCATGTTTGCCACCGTGTTTCCATGGTATCCTAAATATCATACTTTTCTTATCAATCCATTCAAGTCCAGCAATTTCTCCGCTGTTGATCTTAAACTCCAACCAAGGAACTAACTTCTGGCGGTTATTGTCTGAGGCCATGCTCATCCTGTAATTCATGATACAAGATTCAATTCAATTCAAGTTCAATTCAAAATATTTCTCATTTGCTTTCAGCCAGTTTGATGTCTTACAAGATTCAATTCAATTCAAGTTCAATTCAGAATATTTCTCATTTGCTTTCAGCCAGTTTGATGTCTTACAAGATTCAATTCAATACAAGTTCAATTCAGAATATTTCTCATTTGCTTTCAGCCAGTCTTAGTGATTTTTCACATTGGTGTCTTCAAATAACTTTCCAGTAGTGATGCCTTTCACGGTAGTTCATTAAATTACTTTTTTAAATGTTTAACAAAAATTTTGCTGAAGTTTTCTGTTCAACATTGAACTTTAAATATATGATGTCTATTGCTCATATTCAGACATTTATCCTTATATAATGTTCCTTATCAATAGATGAATCAATTGACTTCACTAGTTTCTTTGTTTCAAATATGTAGGAGGTCACCTGGATTAATGATCAATTAAAATGCCATTAAAAAGATTAAGTCCAGGTGATAAAATGTACAGATATAAAAACTTTAAAACTGTCAAGGTTGAGATAAAAAAAACAAGTTCAATATCTATATGATAAGTATATTTTTCTCATTAAATACACATTAAAATTATAACTAATAGAAACATGTAAATATCGTTTTCCTCCTTACTAAATAATGCAGTTTTATCAATGCTTATATATTCATTGCCTAATCAACACATTTTCTGTAAACTATTTTTGATTGATTATTCAAACAATACATTTTTAGTTCCTGGTCATGAGTTTTTGAATGAGGCAGGAAATGTTGATAGAGTGAGATAATATAAAAATAGATCTTTGATTCATTTTTACACTTCACAAGTGGCTTTACGTACTATATGACTGCTAAAATTGTTGAAACCAGGGTATCTTATTGATAATAAATTACGTCACTTCTTTGGTTGTGGCCAATGAAAAATGAGAAAATGAATAACAGTAAAACCTATATAGTGAACACCTATTGAGCCACAAAAAGGTGTTCATTGTAGGTGTTCACTACAAAAGGAATTTTACAAGAGTCAATGTAAAATGTGTCTTGAAGTGGTGTTCACTAAACACATGTGTTCTCTAGAGAAAGGTGTTCACTAAGACAGGTTTTACTATAACAAGAAGAGTAGAAGACGTTTTGCATACATTTACTCATGTCATGCCTTTTAGTTATGAGACAAGTTATTTTGGTGTTTTTAAAGTTTTTTTTTACAAAAGACTGGTGAGAGTGTAATTTACAAGCTGTTATGAATTTATGAAGTATATAGAGACAGAACCCTTTAATAGAGTAAGCTCATCCCATCCCTCTTAATTTACATCTTTTCAAATACATAAACATGCTAGTTAATCTTTTCTCCATTTTTTTTATTTTTTTCACAAATTTTCAATAAGATTTGAATGAGCTCATAACTCTACATTATGACTGGTAATGTAACATGAGTGAAATCATAGTTTATGTTTTTTTCCCACAGAAAGATAATACAAAGTAAATAAAAAAGTTGTAGGTGTGTCAATGCAACGCGTAGGTGTAAAAATTTGGACAAAGAGGATAAAAGCAGATCCATAATTAAATACATACTTACCCAATGAAGTCATGCTAAAAAATCTGATTTAAACAAAGTTTGTAATTCTTTTTACTATAAATGCAGTGAATGAATATATAAGTGTAAAAGTAAACCAAAGTTTTGGCAATCTTAAGCTTAATATTCCTTCCTGGTTCAAAGTTCTCTGATGAAAAGAACAAATAGAATTGTAACTATAATTTAGGCTGGTAAATCATTAAATCATGCAATATAAATCTGATAATTAACGAATATATTATAAAAAGCATGAGTATTTAAAAATACAAGGACTGTTCAAATAAAAAATTACACAATTTAAGATGTCTATTATTCATAAATCTTTTTGAATTCCCTTGTTATCTTTGAACATCAATGTCAAGTGTAAACATCAATTTTTGAAGCATATATGACGGCATGTAAAAGTTGGTCGAATCGTGATAAAAAGTTCAAAGATTATTGACATAATAATAAAAAATAACCAATAATAAATGTAGTAAGTGTAATGGCAAACATTGCTTGAGGAAGTTTTTAACACTCGATCAAAAAGTTGTGAAATCACATTCCTGCTTCTGAACCTCAAATCGCAGTGCACCAAAATACCCAAATTTAACTTCATTTTCGTTTTTGAACTATATCGCTAGAAATAGTTAGAATAAATTAGATTATCCCAGTATCAAGTCCTTGGATTATTACCACTAATAATTAATATTTTTTTGGGGAAGGCGTCCTTAATTCTTTCAATATCCAGATCTACCTCAGTGATGTTTATGTAGTTTTTAATGTTTAGATAACACGAGGTTAATATTATTAACAATCTTGATATCAAATCTCCAAATATGGTAGTATATTCATTAGTCCTCAACCAATGAAAGGCTTTGTTTTAAAGTACTTTCCTATCACAGCGTTTTGTCACATGACTTATAATGTATAATATGTTTGCAAGCTTTGACTTTAACAATATCAACTACTGATGAACCTGCCCCATCCAATACATACAATATATACACCTTCTTCTGTTTTTTTAAAACAAATTATAAAAAATTATCTAACATATTATCTACAAAGCTTGTGACCTGGATACTCCATTGGGTGTTGTTTGTTTGTTTGTTTCTGTGTTAGTAGTGAGGTTTTTAGCTCATTATATTTACTCATGCAAATGTGTCACAAAATGTAATGTAGTGCTGTTATTTTCATATGTATCTAGTTGAAAGCCCATGGTATATTATATTGTTTTGTATTTATACGTCATGTATAATGTTTAACTCTCCATAGTTTGGAGGAAATATAGATTAACAAACAAACAAACTAGCGGATGTTGGCCGCTTGCAGAATGCTCCTTGCGTTGGTCTTGCATGAAGCTTCTGCGTTGCCCTCAAACCACATTCTCTCAATAAAATGTTAAGATCCCAAATGAGTCTGATATTACCCAACATAAAAGGTTTGTTAGTCTCAGATCCGGGGTCTCAGATATTACTCAATCATGACATCATCAACATATTCACACATTATGTTCATTTGATTGATGCATTCATATTTTTTATCACACATGTGATTTCTAGTATTTGTGCTTTTTAATTTTAGTGAAGTTTCATTTCCTTGTGAGAATTTATGAATGAAGGATAGACGTGAAATTTTCATACATGCAAAGCAAAACTAAAAAACAAACCAGTTCAAAGTCTGAGTCTACAGGGGACTTCTGTGTATCAGCCCACTTCCACGACACTGTCCAATTCCACGTAATCAAGGCCTTATCTCGATGTGTTAGAATAATAGTCCAACTAGATCTATGGCTCATTCATGCGGTTTCAAGTACGAGCTTCTGAAAGCGAAAACGGAATAATAGCGAACTTATATCATCGAAACTTCCAAATCTTCCAAAAACGGGGATTCCCCTTCTTCCGCGAACTGGAAGTGACGTAACGGGAATCCCCTTATTTAGTTTCTAAAACTGCCGCTAGGAGTAGAAAGTTTCCGTTTCCGGTAAATGTGCCCTTCAAAATTAATTTGTTCATCAATGCTTTTCCAGTTTGTCCAGTACATAGGTAAATTATTTGATGTAGGTTATTTTAGTTTTTATAAGAATAATTTTAAGGTGAGGGTGAGTATATTTTTCATAAGCGTCAACTTTGTCATCTTTTCTTTAGTTTTGTCATTCACTGATCAATCAATCAAGGATCAAAGGTCATGACACATGATGACAGTAATTTCAGAAGAAAAATATTGATATTTAAAAAAAAATACACATCATGATTGCAGAATTTGTAAAATGTATATGTGCAATGCAATGTACGACTCTTCGTCATACGTATGACTCTTCGTCTTGAACACAAACATGAACATTTTGGAGGAAACTATCAATGTTTAGCAAAGAGCAGGTTGTCTTCTTTCAAATTCTTCAATAAAATCAGAGTCAACCAGCCTGGACGGTCCCTTTCATCTTCAGAAAGTAGGAGGTCTGAGTTCTGGAGGCCTGTGTTTGGAGGATGGCCCCCTTATACAAATTTACTGGCTGTCACAGCCCGCTGTCACAGCGCTCTCGCAGCCCGCTGTCACAGCGCTCTCGCAGCCCGCTGTCACAGCGCTCTCGCAGCCCGCTGTCACAGCGCTCTCGCAGCCCGCTGTCACAGCGCTCTCGCAGCCCGCTGTCACAGCGCTCTCGCAGCCCGCTGTCACAGCGCTCTCACAGCCTGCTGTCACAGCGCTGCGACAGCGCTCTCACAGCGCTGCGACAGCGCTCTCACAGCGCTGTGACAGCCCATCGGAATGTACCATGCAAATGAGGCTGCGACAGCGCTCTCACAGCATTGCCATATATGGCATTGATTATGCATCCTTCCTACACATAAATTTTAGTTACCTATAGCAACAAGACAAGAAGATAAGGGATATCAGAAAACATTTAGCTACCAAGACCCTGCATTTTCATCTAACTGATGACAATATATTTGCACCCTAGATCAAGTTTGCATTTAATTAGAAACTTACTTTATGGATTCAAGCCAGCTTATATATCTTAGTTATAATGCACTCCTTATTTGGTTTTTGCCTTGAATTCCAATGTTCAGTTTGAAAGATGTGTAATAGCTGTTATTGTACATGTACATACAAATTGCCCCAATTGTATCAATTTTATCCTTTATGATGCACTATAATGTCTATATGTGCTAATACATTGATATTTCATACCTTTAGTTTAACCATGCAGTATGTACTAACTTGCACAAAATTCATTTAATTTGATCCTTTTTCTTAGATCACTAGAACATTCCAAAGGTATCTATAAATAATCAGTAGTACAATACCTTACATATGCTTTGTAAATTAGTAATGATATGATGGCCATTTCAGCATAACTCCTTTGTTCTTTCCTCCTACAAAATTCCTGCTCTAACTGATTTTTAGTTTGAATTTTTTAACCCACAATGCATTGGTACTTCCTGCTGTGAGAGGGCTGTGAGAGTGCTGTGAGAGCGCTGCCACAAACTGTGGCTAAGAGAGCATGTTGCTGTAATTGATCCAGCCACTTAATTACTGTCACATCCCTCTCACAGCAATGGATGGAAATAGAATGCTGTGACAGCGCTCTCACAGCGCTCTGGCAGCGTATGGATGTGAGAGGATTGTTGCTGAAATTGATCCAGCCATCATTTTAAGCCTATATGCTGTCACAGCGCTGCAACAGCGCTGTCACAGCGCTGTCGCAGCAATTATTTTCCGTAAGGGGGATCCCCTTTGAAAAGGCTTATTTTTGAAAAAAATCAACTTTTGGTCAGAAATGAACAAATCTTCTTCTTTGACCAATTTATGTGTTTGTGTACTTAACACGATGGCACTGTAATGCTGCCTTTGGTCACTAGATACATTGGTTTCACTCTTATCACTTGTACTTTTCACTAATACTTGTTTTGATTTACTTCTTGAGAGAGTCAATATCTCAATTATAATGAAGACTTTTGTCATTATCTCTGTGTAGTTTGGTTAATTAGATTCTTTGAGTAGATAGAAAGAACTGTTGTTGTCCTACTATTTCTTTGTTGATGACCTGGTCTAAGTTCGTGTTGAGACCAATGATGGTTTGTAAGTCTATGGTTGGGTTGTGGTTGGCTCCAAGTAGTACAGTGTCTATAGCCGCTAGCATTGCCTCCCTCTATGTGCTGTATTTGCTGCACTGAAACAAGAAATGGTGTAAAGTTTCTGGTGAATTACAGTGTTCGCAGTTAGGAGAGGGAAGATCAGGTTGATTTTGTTGTAGTGGCCATTGACTGAGACAAGTGTGCCCAGATATAATTTGTCTGATTGTATCTTTTACTTGTGGAATAAGGTTTTGAATAAAGTTAACTTTATCAGAGTGGTTATACCTAGTTTGCCATTTATCAATAGACTTATTTTTGATTGATTTGTGAGCAATTGTTTTTGTTGTTTTTGGGGATGGGAGGGTTGTGGCTGTTTTTGCAGCTTTTTTGGCAATATTATCAGCTACTTCATTGCCCTCAATTCCAAGATGTCCAGGTACCCAAAGATTTCTGTTTTTCTTTAGGAAAGTGTTTTTCAAGCTTTCCTTATGTTCATAACTTCAGGCATCATATTTTTGAGTTTAGTGTTCAGAAAGGCAGTTGTATTATGGCTGGTTGGCACTGGCAGTCAGACAGTATTGTAACTTTATCTGACATCCTGGTTCTGACAATGAATTCCACTGCCAGCTTGAGTGCAGTGACCTCTCCAGTATAGTTGTTACCCCGACTGGCTACTGGTTCCTACAGGCATACTGGATTGCTCTTTAAGCCACTGATGTAGATAATGGCTGATGCACCTGTTGGTCCTGGGCTACCATCAACGGACCCATCTGTGAAGATTATAGTCTCTGAGTTAAACTCTTGGTCTCAAATACAAAGATGAATTCATTTTGGACTAAAACCAGAATTATCCACTTTCACTTTTTCAGATAGATGAAATAATAAATGGTCCATCCCCTCAGGACAGACAAACTAAACAGTGTGATTTCATGGATACAGACACAACATCGAACTACAGTATACAAACATTGTTACATACAACCAACACATAATACAGTATTTCAATGCAACCAAGGCAACTGCACCAAGGCACACTGTTGGATGTTTTAATGTTGGATCTCTCAAAGCTGAGGATTAAATAATCTCTCTCATAGCTTAACTCACTAATAAGTGACAAGAAGAAAGAAGAATATGGATCTTGCTTTATGTCATATCTGTGTTATCATGGCAACTGTTTTGCATGTTGTGAATAGTAAGTAAGCCATTTTTATTAAAAAATATGTACAAGGCTATTACCATTTTATATTGGGTATAGAATGTTTTCATTTGCTAAATACTCAACTGGAAACGGCATAATTTTCAAATTGTAAACTGGATGCTGTATAATTTTCAAATTGTAAACTGGATGCTGTATAATTTTCAAATTGTGAATGGTTACAGTATAATTTTGTAATCTGGGTACAGTATAACTTTCAAATTGGAAATGGGTATAATATAATTTCAAATTGGAAACTCAGTACAGTATAATTTTTTTGTAATCTGGGTACAGTATAACTTTCAAATTGGAAATGGGTATAATATAATTTCAAATTGGAAACTGAGTACAGTATAATTTTTAAATTGGAAACTGGGTACAGTATAACTATCAAATCGGAAATGGGTATAATATAATTTCAAATTGGAAACTGTGTACAGTATAATTTTCAAATTGTAAACTGGGTACAATATAATTTTCAAATTGGAAACTGGGTTGCTTCTGATATATGAGTTATTCCTGAATTTTTCCAGGTAATGACTGTAAAATCCTTGATGGTTACTGGTACAATGAGTTGGGCAGTGAGTTATTATTGATACATACAAAACAAGGGATGCTTCATGGAGAATACCGTACTGCTGTTGAAAGAGAGACAGGTGCAGCGGGGAATTCTCATTCACTCGTCATAGGTAGGCCTCTATAATAAGTCATTTTCGTTCCACCATTACCTTAATATTTGAATACCATGTATGTACTGTCATATTACTGATTACTAATACAATGGTCTATGAGCATGAGTCATGTATGTATAAAGGTATTCTTTGTCCTATTTACTGATAATATGAGCTAGAATCATGTATAAAGTTATTCTATGAATGATATACTCTCAATAAGGGTCATGCAGGAGTTTCACAAGAATTTCCCACAACAGGCTAAATAAATGAAAACAACACGCAAAAATTAATGGAATTTATAAATTTAACATGGAAAAGTTGAAAAGTCCCTAAAATCAACAGGCAATTTTGTGAAAACAACCGTTGAGAATCTTCTGTTGCCTGCTGCTAATGAAACCCCTGGTCATGTATGTACCTTTATTAAGTTATTCTATGACTATATACTGTCATATTCATACTACGGATAATATGAGCAAGAGTCATGTATCTGTGTATTAGCCCTTTGATAATTTAGTAAACCTTAGTAAGCTCTCGTATACTGTACACATACATGAAACCACTTGAAACTTTAAATTGCACTTGTGTTGTTTGTAGAGTGTACATCTGGTGTTGATAAACTTGACATATTTCATATATCATCCATAAATTGCTGTAAACAACTTCATTAAAGTGCTCAAACATTTTGGACATTTCAGAGTTTCAATAAAGTAGCTATTGTAAAGCAGCATCATGTAAAGCAGCATGTAAATACCTCTAAAAGCCCAAATTTTGGCTGACAAAAAATTTCACTATTTTGTCAGTCTGAAATATTTCATGGGCATTAAATTTCACTGTTGGAAGAAATATCCAAATGAATTCAATGTTAAATCAGATATTCACTGTCACTATATTCACTATATATTCACTGCCTTTAATTTCACGGTCTAGCCTCTTCAGCGAAAATCATAAAAATTAGGGCACCTTGAAAATTTGGGGTTTTACAGTATACTGTCCTCTTCTTTTTCTCTTTTTATCGCCTTTGAAAAAATACTTTATTGTTGTTGGCTTGTTCACCTAAGAAAAACGCATATAGAATTTTGATACAAGTCAATCCTTATACAAAAATGTAAACCTACAAATATTAACCCATTTTCTTGTATTTTTGCAGGGGCCGCCCCATACAAGAGTTATAGCAGCACATTTGGTTTTGCTGTCATATGGAAAGATGGCGCTTCCATAACCACATGGACAGGTTAGAAGGGGGGTCACTATAAATCAACATGCAGCGAGCAATTTGCTCAAGTTCTTATGCAAGTCACCTGTTATTTTGAGGAATTTTGCAATAGTTTCCATGTTAACATCACACTTCAGTAAATTTGCATGTCAGGCCTGTATCCAGCTTTTTCTATCTTCAAAAAATTTTAGGGGATTCACAGCTGACAATTTTGGCCCAGAATCACTTGAAAAGTGCTTAGAATGGTGAAAAATTGCATGATTTTGAGAGATTTTTTTGTCAAGGGGCCCCAAACTCCCCCTGGCATCAAGCCTACATGTTGTTTGTATTTTTTTGTTTTGCCAGAAATTCTTTGAAAAGCTGAATGAGATGGACTATAAAATTGGCACGGCAAAAAGCAAAGTCAGGAAAAAGAAATCAGAATAAGAGAACACTCGTGTATATAAATTCCAGAAAATGAAGGAGTAAATACAAATGAAGGAAACAGGAAAGGGACAGAATTTAGCCAGTATATAACCCATGAATACCCCAGAGCTCTTTAATGGAAATTACAAATCAAAATATACATTTTCTTTCAAACATTTCAAACAGAATTCTCTTCAAGAGGCTTTTTAACACTCCCTCATTTTCCCCACCTATTCATAGAGTCATAATTATGTCTAATATTTTGTATATAAAAAATCAAAACACAAAATTTTCTTTGAAGGTCAGTGTCAACCTTGCCATAATGGCGAAGCAATTTTGGAGACATCTTGGATACTGAGGTCAACAGTTGATACGTGCGAAGACAAATGGAAGTCAACAATGATTGGCCAGTCTACATTTACAAGAAAGTCAGCCACAAATGGTCCAAGACGAAACATGGGAACACACACTCCTTCAAGGAACTCAAGAGATGCGGTGAGAATAAAAGTCACAAGACTTTAACCTTTGATATACCAGACTCTTGAAATGGTTTAAAAGTAGGGTATTCTCTATAAAATTGCCATGCCAGCTTGTCATTTTACTGCCCCATTGTGCAATTATGTGATGATCAATTTCATAATTTTAGTATTTGTAGATACAATTTATGTAACATCATCTTGAGGCTGCATGAAAATGTTAACATTGTGACATGCCATTCTGAAATTATACAATTTTCACATTCTCATATTTACACACCTCATGTAAGACCCATTTTAGTAGTCACAAGCTATAATATATTTGATGTTTTTTTCTTTATTTAGGTTGATAAGGGTCCCGTATATGGTCCTGCATTGACCCATAAAAAGTTCATAAAGACCCCCAGTGTATGTACTTTGGATGGCTACTGGTATAATGATCTAGGCTCTGAGATATTACTACAGCATCACAATGATGGTACCATAACAGGTAGGTTTAACTCACAATATGGGCCTTGTTTAGAAATTACTTTCAAAATAGTGCCCATGTGTGATTTCGCATAGAGGTACATGTATGTTTTGTTATTAGAGAAAATCTGGTAGTCACCACCAGAGTCTGACATATTGTAAGAGTCTCCAATTTTTTGTGGATGGTGTTTGGTGGTCTGCAGTCGGCTTGCACATTCGGTGGTCTGCTTCTGTAACAAATTGCATTTTGTGAGATTTTAAATGTTAATGCTACATGTAGTAGCTGAGGTAGAGAGGATCATTCACTCTCATATCTGTTAGTTTTATAATATCACCACCAGAAAGTGGTGACATATTGTTATAATCTCTAACTTTTTTGGATAGTGGTTTGGGCTTGGTGTTCGACACTTGGTGTTTGGTGTCTGTAAAAAATGACAGGTGGTGAAATTTTGCATGTTAATGCCTTGTTTCATTTGTAATTGTATACAGTTTGCAGTTCCTATATTGACTAGTAATTTGTGTGTAGATTAAAAGGTAGCCTTCTTATTTTCAGGGGAGTACCGAACATCAGTTGAAAGACAGAAAGGAGCTGCTGGCATCTCTCACTCCAAGGTATATGGTATTGCTAACAAGAATGATGTCAACTCCACCCTTGCAATGTTTGTTATCTGGAATGATGGTGCCTCGGTGACTGGGTGGGTAGGTATGTACATTGGTTTTCTTATTTGTGGAATTATGAATCATGTGAAATTATTTGCCTTTTAGTGCAGAAAAAAAGCTTTCTAGCCTTTTTTGTACTCATTGGTTTGGTTTTCCATTTTGGCAAAAATGCTTTCAATTTATTTCCAATAAATTCAGTGTTTAAAGTAACATTATAAAACCTTTCAAAACAGATATTTGCAAAATGGACAACAAGAGCTAATGTTTTATTACTCATGTATCAAAGAATGCTAAAAACAGACCCCTCGAAAGGATTTTATAAAAATGTAGCCATGCCTGTTCAATGGGATTTGCTATGCTTTGGCATTGCTTTAGTCTAGTTGGTATAGAAATCAGAACAATTGTATTACAGGCCAGTGTCATGTATGTGGAGTAAATGGAACTGAAACTATAGAAACAACCTGGTTGCTAAGAAAACAAGTTCACAGTTGCTATGACAACTGGAAGTCAACACTTCATGGAGAGGACAGCTTCACTCGAACAGAGCAAGAACCAGGTGAGGAGGGTCATACATGTATTAAAGATGTATAAGTTGATGTAAAATCTGATTGTTTAAATCCGTAATTCAGAGAAAAATCCAACAAATAAAATTAAATGTTAGATTTTATATTTTGCTTCATTTAAACATTATTCTGTGCTTGATATCTCTTAAGTTGAATAACTGCACATTTCTATCCAATTAGAATGTTAAAGTCAGGCCTCTCTCTGAAACGCAATCTTAGGTTGTTCCCGGGGTCCCTGGTAATATTTTGTGCTTTAATGAGAAAATATACAATAATGAACAAATGGAGCAAATACTGTGTAGAAATACTCACGATAAAGATGTTATTCTGACAATTGTTCATTAAATTGCTGAGAGGTTCGCCGGTAACCAAATTTCTTCGTAGATTTCTAAATTTAGAATGTCACGTGACTTACTAAAAAGAAGTTTAATTATAGTCCTAAAATAACTTTGATGCATAACCAATGCCCGGGTAGCGTCCTCGCTTGTCACTTCGAAGGTCCGGGTTCGAATCCCGGCACCGACTGTTTTTATTTTTTAAGTTAATGGTTATGCTTTGATTTTACGCAAAAAAAATGTTTATATCTTTGTCAAATCAATCTAAATTTAAGCATTTATTATCTCTTCAGTTGTTTGAAAATGGAAAAAAATTAATGTTCACATATTGCGTTTTGGAGAGAGGTATAGGTTTAATAAATAGGTATGTGTATGCTTAGTTTTTCCTTGATAAAACAACCATTTTCAACATATTTTACAAGTGATCACTATGAAATGTCCTTAAAGAATAATCTATACTGTAAAGTGAAAGCTTCAGGAGCCAGCTAGTGTTCAACTTAAATTCTTTCAAAATCATACAGTTTTTCACCATGCTGAGCACTTTTTGAGTGATTTTGGGCCAAAGTTGTCCTTAGCAAAAGTTAGCTCCGGGCCTGACATATAACCACATTTTTTGCATCTTGACCCTTCCCTCATCTACTCTCTAACAGGAGGTAATTAGAGGGCTACATGGTCTCAAAACAAGACTAATGACCCTGGAGACCTATCATAACATAAGAATATTTGTTTTTTTATTTGCAGGACCTCGGAAGAGATTCAATACTCACAGTCCATCAGACTTTGATATAGTTGACCCAGACATGATAATCGCAGACACTCAAAATGCAAACTCCTGGTATCCATGGCTACTGACAATTACCATTGTTGTCATGGTGATAGCTCTGACATATATCGTGGTAGTAAATTGGACTCATTATAAAAAGTATCGAGGGTTCGTTCACACGAGACTCTTTGCGAATGAAGGATACGAACGTGCAGAAGATAGGACAGCAATGGTGCTGGCAGAACAAACCTGAAGTTTTTTGACATATCCTGAAATATTCACTCTGATTAAAATGGCCAATTTATCTCCGAATAATAGAACACACTTCCATTTTGAATACTGATCCCGGATACTGATCCTGGAGAGAGATGCGCGTTTTGTTGGCAAAAGTTCAAGTCAGAAAAGCAAAAGGTGCAAATAAAAGAATCAAAGGAGAAAGTTGCAAGGAATTAAAAACTGAAATCTTTCCGCATGTTGCAAGTTAGGCTACTTAATCGTTGTTTTCAACATGTTTACGACAATCAGGATCTTGTTTTCATAAAGAAAGCTGCTAGGGATGTAGTATTTGCTCACATGCCAGTGGTGTAGCAAGGATCTTTGAATAGGCGAGACAAGAATTGAGTTTAAGCAATATAATTTCATTGCTTTCAAAGATTCAATTGAAAATTGTTTACTTTCAGCCCGTAGCCAGGGGGTTCACCTTTTGAAAGATTCCAGGGGGGTTCACTTTTGACAATTTGGTTCAACAATGGCCAAAATCACTGAAAAGTGCTCAGAATGGTGAAAAACTGCATGATTTTGAAAGAGTTTTTGCCCCCCCCCTGGCTACGAGACTGACATAAATGTTTTCCTGTAAAAAAGCAAAGGTACAAATTGAGGATATTTGTCCAAAGAGAATTGTAATAAGAAATGAAGACCTGCTAATACTGTATGCAATAAGAGATTTAGTCAAATAATGCCAAAGTTACACCAAGGAGTATTCACAGCTTTGTCACAAGTATTCAATGGTTCAGTTATTAACATGATATTATTCAAGAATTTGACCTGAGTAACACAGGATATATTTAAAGTCCCCGTCTAAAGTTTGAAAATATTTTTTTATCATTCATTTACTATTTGTCATGACTTAAAAAGTTATGTTAGAGATTTTTGAAAAAAAATATTTTTTTTTGAAAAAAAAGTTGTGAGCATTTCATATCTCAAATATTCAAATTTCCCGCCATTTTTCAATGGTTCAGTTATTCAATGGCTCAGTTATTAACATGATATTATTCAAGAGTTTAACCTGAGTAACACAGGATATATTTAAAGTCCCCGTCTAAAGTCTGAAAATATTTTTTTATCATTCATTTTTTATTTACTATTTGTCATGACTTAAAAAGTTATCTTAGAGATTTTTGAAAAAAAAAGTTGTGAGCATTTCATTTCTCAAATATTCAAATTTCCGCCATTTTTCAATGGTTCAGTTATTAACATGATATTATTCAAGAGTTTAACCTGAGTAACACAGGATATATTTATGGGTTTACAATCACAACTGGTGCTAAGGTAAAGTTTGTCAATCATATCTAGCATATTATAGAATGGAATAACAAAATCATTTTTTAACATGTTCATACATTGACAAAAATATTATTACGATGAATTTTGTTGAAAGGCAGCATTTAGAGCATTTGATTTAGGCCTTATTTAATTTATGTGTACACTTAATTTCAGTGGTACAACGGGCAAGAGTCAATTGCACTTAGGATTAGCAACTTTTAGTGGCCTATGATCTGTTAAAGATCTGCTTTAAATGGGCTTATTATTGATGTAGATGTAGATCCAGCATACATCAGCAATTTTGCTTTTTTGTCCAGTTTAGTCAATTTTCTTTTATGTACATGTACATAGTTTAAAATAATGTGGTCTTACATGTATCTTATATAATCAGATTGTTGACTTGTTGTTTTTTTACATGTAAAACTGTACTCTACGAGCAGATAGGTATCCAATGGAAAAATTGCCATATCTATTTCTTGTGTTGATTGGTATGAGCTGCTACCCTGCGTGCAGAGTCTAGTTAAACGAAGCTCTCTTTTAAGAAGTGAAGTGAAACGAATGCAAAGGGTAATGAGTTGCCTGACTTATTGGCTAAAGTCAGTTGTGGGTCACTGAATCAGCATTTTCAAAAATTATCTGGGATTAAATAACACTGGGGAGGGGACATATTTTTCTTTCCATTAGACATTATTTTAACATAATTTTACTTTAATTTGAGTTTATTTAAAAAATGCAAATGCAAAATTGAAATAACAATGTAATTTTTCTATTCCTCACCATGTCATGTTATCAACAAATGAGCGCCATCTGTTTAATTGAGTACATCCAGTAAAATCTAATAAATAATACAGTGAAACCTGTACAGTGGAAGATCTATAAGTGAAACACCTCAAGTGAAACACCTCCCCAAGTCGAACACTTTTTAGAGGTACCAAATGTGTTTTACTTTTTTCTTTTTTTTATTAATTAGACTCCAGATGAAATCTGGAGTCTATTGTTTTTGCCTGTTTTCTTATTAGACTCCAGATGAAATCTGGAGTCTATTGTTTTTGCCTGTTTTCTTATTAGACTCCAGATTGAAAATCTGGAGTCTATTGTTTTTGCCTGTTTTCTTATTATTCTTTTTCTTCTTCTTCTTCTTTCTTCCTCCTAACAGATTTTCTCTCCAACTATAACATCTTACTTAATCCAACCTACATGGTTGACTAGGGAATGTATCTGGCTTTCTGGGAAATTAGGTCAAATTTTTATCTAGGTCAAAGGTCAAGAACTAGGTCACGTCCTACATTTTTAACATTCTGACATTTATCTTCCTACATCTATCATCCAACTCCTTCATCTTACTTTCATCATGTAGCTTAGAAAAAGCCCTTTCATAAGTGTGCCATCAGATTTTTGATTACTCTTACCAATTTTGAGATATGGCGTCCGGAAAGTAGGTCAGAACAAAAAGTTCTCCAAAATCAACATGTGAGCTATGAAATAAGTGTAGAATGATCTCAGGAATCCGAATCTGCAAATCAAATTTGGATCGGACTTCCGGTTCGGAAGTTATGGCGTTTTGAAAGCTCAAAAATCGCTAAATTTGGTGCCTATGTTAAGTCAATGGGAAAAAAGACTTTTTCGAAGTGTAAAATACAAGATATAGACTGAGTACAGCTTAACATAATGAATGCTTATAAAAGAAGGGGACCTCAAAAGCTACATAGCTTCAAAATTTGGACACCAAAATGCCTAGGTCAAAATCTAGGTCAAATTCATAGTTTTTCCTTACTTTTACGATTCTGACACTACACTTTAATAATTTACTTCAAAATGTTGTATACAGGTAGCAAAGAGTGTGCTAATAGTGTTAGCCTTTTGCCGTCAGAAAGTATTTTGACCCACTTTTGAGATATGGTGTCCGAAAAGTAGGTCAAAATAAAAAGTTCTCCAAATTTAACATATGAGCTATGAATTAAGGGTAGAATTTTCCCAGGAATCCGAATCTGCAAACCAAATTTCAATTCGACTTTCGGTTCATTAGTTATGGCGTTTTGGAAGCTCAAAAATCGCTAAATTTGGTGCCCCATGTTATGTCAATGAGAAAAAAGATTTTTTTTAAGTGTAAAATACCAGATATAAACTGAGTACAGCTTAACATTCTGAAAGCCTATAAAAGAAGGGGACCTCGAAGGCTATCTAGCTTTAAATTTTGGACACCAAAATGCCTAGGTCAAAATCTAGGTCAAATTCATAGTTTTTCCTTATTTTTGCGATTCTGACATTACACTTTAATGATTTGCTTCGAAATTTTGTATACAGGTAGCAAAGCGTGTGCTTATAGTGTTAGCTTTCTGCCGTCAGAAAGTATTTTGACCCACTTTTGAGATATGGTGTCTGAAAAGTAGGTCAAAATAAAAAGTTCTCCAAATTTAACGTATGAGTTATGAATTAAGGGTAGAATTTTCTCAGGAATCAGAATCTTTAAACCAAATTTCGATCAAACTTCTGATTAGATAGTTATAGCGGTTTGAAGTCTCGAAAAGTCGATATGATGATGATATCCCCATGTTAAGCCAATGGAGTCGAAGATAACATTCTTAAGAGTTGTCTAAATGTCTATATTCTAGCTGACTCAGCTTATTCTGAATGACTCAGCTTACAAGTATTTGGATGACTCAGCTTAAAAAAAGTCTGAAATCTGGAGTCTTAAATTGAACTTGTTCAATTTACATGTCTAGTTATTAGACTCCAGATGAAATCTGGAGTCTATTGTTTTCGTCAGTTTTCTTATTATTATTATTATTATTATTATTCTAGGCACGTTTTCTCAATAACCATAGGGTCTTCAGTAAAGTCAATCGGTTGGTCAATTTAGGTTCAGAATCTAGTTCCTCGGAAATGGGGTCAAATTTTTATCTAGGTCAAAGGTCAAGAACTAGGTCAAATCCAGTACTTTGTCACTTTTTTCGATTTTCTCGGTCGTCCTTCAATATTTTCGATCCGGTTTTTTTTCATTGTGTTCCTTATAAAAAAGTAGGAAACCTAGGGTCGATTTAGTTTTTTGATATCTCAAACCGATTTCGAGATATCAGTGTCCGAAAACGAGGTCCAAAACAAAGTTCTCCGAATCAAATGTTCAGGATATTAGTCTTATAGGAAATTTTCTCAGGATTCCGAATCTAAAAACGAAATTTGGATCTGACTTCCAGTTCGGAAGTTATGGCGTTTTGAAAACTCAAAAATCGCTAAATTTGGTGCCCATGTTAAGTCAATGGGAAAAAATATTTTTTTGAAGTGAAAAATACGGAATATAGACTGAGTTCAGCTTTATATAATCAAAGCCTTTAAAAGAAGGGGACCTCAAAAGCCATCTAGCTTCACAATTTGGACACCGAAATGCCTAGGTCAAAATCTAGGTCAAATTCATAGGTTTTCCTTATTTTTTCGATTCTGACACTACACTTTAATTATATTCTTCGAAATTCTGTATACATGTAGCCAAGAATATGCTAATAGTGTTAGCCTTTTGCCGTCAGAAAGTATTTTGACCCACTTTTGAGATATGGTGTCCGAAAAGTAGGTCAAAATAAAAAGTTCTCCAAATTGAATATATGAGTTATGAATTAAGAGTAGAATTCTGTCAGGAATCTGAATCTGCAAACCAAATTTCAATCCGACTACCGGTTCGGAAGTTATGGCGTGTCCGAAAAGTAGGTCAAAATAAAAAATCTCCAAATTTAACGTATGAGTTATGAATTAGGGGTAGAATTTTGTCTGGAATCCGAATCTGAAAACCAAATTTCGATCCGACTTCTGGTTCGGAAGTGATAGCGTTTTGAAATTTCGAGAAAAATCGATCTGATGGTATCCTGATAGAAAGTCAAGAGTAGAAAAGAAAATATTGAAAAATTCATTCATCCTTCCTATCTCATCCTACCCTATCCTTCATATCTATCCTTCCTTCATATCTTTTCCTTCCTATCCTATCCTATCCTTTCTTCCTATTCTATTCTATCCTATCCTTCTTTCTTATTCTATCCTATCGTTCTTTCCTATTCTATCCTATCCTACCTTCCTATTTTATTTATCCATCTCTTTCTAGATGACTCAGCTTATTCTGGATAACTCGGCTTATTCTGGATGACTCGGCTAAAAAAAGTCTAGATCTGGAGTCTGAAATTGAACTTCGTTCAATTTCCAAAATCT